ATAGTTGTTTGCACAGGCTGGGATTGGTAGACGCGCTGAATTCGTCAGAAATACGAATTTTAAGGAGCAGTCTCATACAGCCTTTGTTGACACCTCCTTGCCTTGTCTTGGCGTTTGGTGAATGGTTTAGAGTACCTTTGTAATGTCCTTTGTTTAGCCCTGGCTTCCATTATACACCTCTATTAAATTAGCCCTCGCTCTCGTCTCTCGAGAATTAGGTCAAGATGCTTTAACCTGTCTCTATACTCAAGGTTCCTAATGCCCGGGATTAGTCTTATCATTCTCCTCTGAATTCTTTCCAATGATTCTATATCCATTCTGTAATACGGTGACCAGAACTGAACTGCGTAATCCAGGTGTGGTCTCACAAGCGCAAGATACAGTTTTAGGATGACCTCGCTAGTCTTGTAACTAACACTCCTTTGTATGAACCCAAGTACTTTATTAGCCTTGTTACGAGCAAAAACACATTGTTTACTTGGCTTAAGGTTCCTACTTATCATTACTCCTAAATCTCTCTAGCAGTCGGATTTCTCTATGGCATCGTTGTTCATCTGGTATCTGGTTCCCTGTTTACATCTCCTATACTGAGTACTTTACATTTGTCGACATTGAATTTCATCTGCCATTTTTCAGACCATTCGAAAAATTTGTTTAGATCTTCCTGTAGTTTTGCCGAGTCCTCGTCAGATTTGATAACACGTCCTATTTTAGTGTCATCAGCAAATTTACTTATTTTGCTGTCTATGCAGATATCTATGTCGTTTATGTATATAATAAATAATAATGGTCCAAGTACTGAGCCTTGGGGAACTCCACTTGTGACGTTGCTCCAATGGGACTTAGTGCCGTTAATGCTCACTCGCTGTTGTAGTGGCTCCTCTCCCCTACAACTCCCAACTGAGCTCCGGCCGTGCGCCTACCAGCCAATCAGCGTACAGCCAGCTACGCCGAGAGACTAAGGTCTATGCAGAGGACGTAGGGGTACGATCGCCGACCTAGTCTCGACCTTCAACCTCTGGTTCAGGATCAGAGCGTTTCACACCTTACGCTTAAGCCGCTGTGATTGGTCTTCTCGCTATGCTCACCCTAAATCCTGATCCTCGTAAATTGTATAAATACGGTCATGCCTGGCCAGGGAGACCATTCTACACTCGACTACTGGACCAGCAACATCTCTCACAGCTCCTCACCACTCAGCTTCCTCAGAAACCTCCTCACCCTACGGGACCTCTGAGCAAGTTTCTCCTCACCTAGTCACTCCTAAGCACTGCGCTGTACAACAATATATATACAGAAAGCGCATTGTGAGTTTCTATTCTACCTCATTCCTGAGTGTGAGATATCTACATGTACGTACGTTTGTGTGCCCATACAAAGAGAATTGACAACTGGCCACATACAGTACGCTACACTGTTTCCTGTCCTGTAACCACGCCCTAATCCATTTAAGGATGTTACCTTTGATGCCATGTGCTTCTACCTTTCTAATTAGTCTTTCGTGGTTAAAAATCTTCTTAATTACAAAATTGTCCAGTTTGTAACCAGGTGAAAAGGTTGGGTCACCTTACCCTCTGACCTGACTACCTACCGACCGTTGCGGTGCTTTTTAAAGATTAGTAGGTCATTACCTAATACCTGACCATTGTGGACCTGATCTCACCCTCCTCTGTATATATACACCTTGTTTTGTACTTCTCCTTAGTCTGTACTCACCCCTGAAGATGTGAATTACACGAAAGCTCTTGGGAACTTCGTGTTTTCTTCTTTCCTTGTGGTTATCAGCATATATATATATATATATATATATATATATATATATATATATATATGCTGATAACCACAAGGAAAGAAGAAAACACGAAGTTCCCATGTGCTTTCGTGTAATTCACATCTTCAGGGGTGAGTACAGACTAGAGAGAGAAATACAAACCAAGGTGCATATATACAGAGGAGGGTGAGACCAGGTCCACAATGGTCAGGTATTAGGTAATGACCCTACTAATCTTTAAATAGCACACAACGGTTGGTGGTCAGGCCAGATGGTCAGGTGACCCGGCTGTGGGGTATGAGATGTTTGGTTCACACTCAGGATGGGATGGAGAAAGGAAACTCACAATGTGCTCTCTATATACATGTTGTATTGGATGTACAATGCAGCTTGGTGCTGGGAAGGCAGCATGGTTACAAGCGTGATGTAGGGAGAGCTGGTTGGTGAGGACGCTCAGAGAAGGACAGCTTGTGGGTCGCCATGCTCGCCAGTGGGAGAGAGGACCGCCAGGCAGGCGGAGGTGTTGCTGGCTGGTTGGTGTAGGTAGAAAGAGAGACAGATCACCACGAGGTCAGGTCTTAAATAGCGGGGGTAGGCGTGGCTTAGCAGTTGACCCCCGCTCCGTGATGTATGGCGGCGCTGGTTGACCTAGACCACGGGGCATACACTGGGGAATTGGTGGGGTCGGCTAGGCAGCGACAAACAGCGTTTGTAGGGGAGAATTCCACTACAATACTCCCCCTTCCCTCCAGGCTGTGTAGGAGACTTGTTGTCTGCAGGGTTGCATAGCACATGTGAGGCAGAACGGGCGGTGCGTGCCTCATGTGAGACAACGGCGATGGCGTGGATGAGCCGGTCGCTGGGGACAACTGTCTAGATACACAATATCTGTGGGAGTAGAGAGGGAGAATAAGGGTGTGTGGAGGCGATGAATGTTGTGCTTCCCTCATGGCAGGTACAGAGTCGTCAGATGCGCCTGCTGGGGTGTGTAGGCCTGGGTCAGGAGCAGGGGCTGCGTCAGCAGAAGCGGATGAGGGCTCGTGACAGCAGCTGGGTCCACGACAGCAGCAGGGTGCAGGACATTAGCAGGGAGTACCTGAGGGAGAAAAGAGGGGTGTGGGTCCGCATTCAGGAACAGTGGCCGCGTCAGGGGCGGCAGGGGTTACTGCTGGGCCGGGGTCGGCGTCTGAGGCAGGACGGGTGTGCTGGGGTCGGAAGAGGAGCGACTGTCTACTTAGAGTAGCAGAGCTGCTCTAGGGTGTCTAACCTGCGGTGTAGAGACAGTAGCTGTAGAGCCGATGAGAGCTGCTTCTGGGTGGATACGCCAGTCTTCCATGTTGCTGGAAGACTGGGAGCGTGATCAGTTTCTCCTCCATCCTGTGTGAGTGCGAATCTCCGGGAGTCACCATTTGTGGGGTATGAGATTGTTTGATTCACACTCAGGATGGGATGGAGAAAGGAAACTCACAATGTGCTCTCTATATACATGTTGTATTGGATGTACAATGCAGCTTGGTGCTGGGAAGGCAGCATGGTTACAAGCGTGATGTAGAGAGAGCTGGTTGGTGAGGACGCTCAGAGAAGGACAGCTTGTGGGTCGCCATACTCGCCAGCGAGAGAGAGGACCGCCAGGCAGGCGGAGGTGTTGCTGGAAGGTTGGTGTAGGTAGAGAGAGAGACAGATCACCACGAGGTCAGGTCTTAAATAGCGGGGGTAGGCGTGGCTTAGCAGTTGACCCCCGCTCCGTGGTGTATGGCGGCGCTGGTTGACCTAGACCACGAGGCATACACTGGGGAATTGGTGGGGTCGGCTAGGCAGCGACAAACAGCGTTTGTAGGGGAGAATTCCACTACAGTCTTGAATAAAGACGAAAGCTAAGGTACTCCGTTGTTTCCATTTTCCCGTGTGATTTTATCAAGATATATATATATATATATATATATATATATATATATATATATATATATATATATATATATACATTATGATAGTTTCTCCCTACAAACGCTGTTTGTCGCTGAGTAGCCGACCCCACCAATTCCCCAGTGTATGCCTCGTGGTCTAGGTCAACCAGCGCCGCCATACATCACGGAGCGGGGGTCAACTACTAAGCCACGCCTACCCCCCGCTATTTAAGACCTGACCTCGTGGTGACCTGCCCTCTTTCTACCTACACCAACCAGCCAGCAACACCTCCTCCTCCTCCTCCTGCCTGGTGGTCCTCGCTCACGCAGGAGAGCTTGGCGACCCACAAGCTGGTCCTCCTGTGAGCATCCTCACCAACCAGCTCTCTTTACATCACGCTTGTAACCATGCTGCCTTCCCAGCACCAAGCTGCATTGTACACCCAATACAACATGTATATAGAGAGCACATTGTGAGTTTCCTTTCTCCGTTCCATCCTGAGTGTGAACCAAACATCCCGAACCCCACAACATACATACATAAATACATAATAATAATAATAACAATAATAATAATAATAAACGGTTTATTAATAGAGTTGCAGCCGGTGGCTGAAAATATACAGACTTACATTTGATTTAGACATAATGATATAATATGCATCGAATATATTTACAGGGCTGTGCAGTACATAAGTCAGGAGTTGTTTAGTATTTAATACATACATACATATATATATATATATATATATATATATATATATATATATATATATATATATATATATATATATATATCTTGATAAAATCACACGGAAAATGGAAACAACGGAGCACCTTAGCTTCGTCATATATATATATATATATATATATATATATATATATATATATATATATATATATATATATATATATATATATATATATATATATATATAGGCTATATATATGTTAATGTTTAAATTTTTAACAGATATTTGGGCGACGGGGAGATACTGTTCTATATATATCCTTTGCGAAAAAATATATATAAATAGCACAGTATGTCTCCGTCTCCCAAATATCTGTTAAAAATTTAAACATTAACCTTTAAATGTTTAAATCACAGGATCACATCCCACACAAATCATTAAAGTTAAAACGGAGATAAAAACATTTTATTTTTAGCTATAGTTCAGCGTTTTTATATTTTAATAAATTAAATGAAAATTTTAACTGAATAAAAGATTCACCATTTTGAATTTAGAGAATCGATAGGAGTTATTAATAAAAGATTTCCATAATAAATACTCTATGTCTCCCACAATTCCCTGCAGTGGAGTCGTTGTTTACACCAAGTTTGAAATTGTTCCCTGGTCCACCACTCACTGAGACACTAGGTGATGAAACATGGGGTGTAACCTACAGCTAAAATAAAAGAAGACAAAGAAGAAGTGTGACTTGTGAGCTAAGACTGGTGGAGAGGTTCCTGTTATTATCGTGTTACTCACAAATTTAAACGATGGAGGAGGAAGCGGTGGAAAATATTATTCTTAAATGTGTAAGTATGCAGCTAATTCTCTTAACATGGAATTGTAAGTATATCCATGTTTGATTATTTGTAATTAAGGAGTGAAATACTTTGGGTCAGGGCCCGAATTAACCACCATCTGCCGTTAGAAAATTTTTGGGTAATAAGAACATAAGAAAATAAGGAGTCTGCAGTAGGCTGGTTGGCAGCTCCTGTCGAGAGCGAAATTGATAGAAAACAATTATAAAAAAGCCGGATTGTCATTTTAATATTATAGTGGAGACTTGTAGTTTGTGGAAATATGTTAAAAAATGAATTTTTAAAAAATAAACGCTACTTAACAATATATGGGCATGAAGAACAGACCTCACCAATCTCTAAGATAACCTTTTTACCTTAAGAAATTAAAAAAAAATGGCGAGGATTTTCAGTTTTGGTAATATTTTAATGAAATTTTTCTTCTTGAACGCTAACAATTATACACCCATCCTATCTAACAATAATATATATGTAATATAGCAGTTGTTGAAAGTGTTCCTTGATATGAAATGTGGTAATCCTGGAGCATATGGCTAGTGCCAGAATGCATTGTTCGATTTCCACAGATGTTCTTCGGATGATAGTAAGTAATAAAATGATACGACAATGCACAGAACTTAATAGAACCTATCTTAACCTAACCAACCAAATAAATATTTCTAACCTTACCCAGCCAACCAAAGAAACCTAACTTCCTAGCTCGGGGTTGGACCCCCTGGCATATTAAAAAAAAATACTTTGAAATCTAGTACCAATAAAAGCAACTTGTTTGGAGCAGCAAGGTAAAATTTTAATTTTTTTGTTGATGTGAGAGTAGACTTGAACTGAGTGACCTGCTTGGTCAGAGCCTAAACAAGCAAAGAGCAGACGACAACACTCACTGGCATGGCAGACTATTCGGTTGAATATATATGGTAAGTAATTAATTTCTTCGTGTAGAATGCACGTAGAGACATCATTAGTGTTATATGATCAGTTTTTCACCATGTTTTACCCTGCAATATTCTTCCTCCTTCATACACTGCCCACCACAGGTGATTTATGATTGTAGATAGAAAAGAACTGAAATTTTTTTAGATAAATAGTTATTATATGCGGGGGACGAATGTTATGAGTTTATTAGTAGAACTTGATCAATAAGCCAGGATTCACATTCGTAACTTGTGCTTCTCTAGGTGATTTCGAATAGGGTTTGAAAATATTGCTTACAGCAATTTGCCTACAATTGATGTTAAACTGATTGGACAATTGTTAGAGGATTGTGATCTATCTCCCTTGAAAATCGGTATCACATTCGCTATCCTCCAGGATTCTGGCACTACACCCGTTTTTAATGACATGTTAAACAAATTTGCTAAGGGCATACTAAGCTCCTCCTTACATTCCTTTAATACTCTGGCAAATACCTGTATCTCATCTGGACCTGGTGACTTATAGGCTTTAGCTTGTCTATTTGCTTACTAATATCGTTACTCGTCACTACTATCTCGCTTAATGCAGTTTCTTCACAATCTTTGTATATAGTTGGTGCCTTGGGTATCAGGTTTAAATTTTGGGTGGTGAAAACTGTTGAAAAATACCTGTTCAGATTGTTGTTTATTTCTCCATTGTTTTCAGTTAGCTCGTCGGTATTAGTCCAATCTTGTCTCGTGTTTTAGTTTGATATATTTGAAAGAATCCCTTGGGGTTTAACTTCCCCTCCCTTGTTACCTTCAGTTCATTATTCCTCTTTGCTTTTCTTATCTCTGTCACCCTTAAGCCCCGGGTTAGGGTGCTGCTGACAGTACCCCCCACGTGGGGTTAAAAGAAAAAACAACATTTCCAAAAATAATAATAATAAAAAAAGGCGGGAAAATAGGCGGACGTTACTTGGGGCGCTCTAGTCGGACGTTCTGGAACGTTACCTGGGGCGCGCTAGTTGGACGTTCTGGAACGTCACCCAGGGTTAATTAATCCAACTGGCCTTTCTTTGGCCAGTAATATTCTTTAAATAATTATTTATCCATTTGGGGTCATTGTTATTTGATCCGAGTTTTCTGTATGGTATGTTCTGCCTTTGTGCATTAAGTAACTCGTCAACCTCGGATCTCGTGATCAGGTCATCCTCAACCGTCATATTTTGTGAGGGTGTCGCCAGGTCTCTTGGTAATGTGAGGTCGCTTTCTGTGGGTGCATTGTTGTGGAATGTCAACCTCAGATCTCGTGATCAGATTATCTCAACCGTATCTTAATAAGAGAGAATGAAAAGATAAATTATAACAAATCAATCCCCACCCCCCTTACAATCTATGCTGCCTTTTATTATTGTACTTTTATCATTCATGTAAAAATATGTAAACTTTTACTTTTTAGTCCGAGTTCGTTAACTTAAGTTGTCCGAGTTGGATGTGCGCCAAGTTGGCAATGGGCCGAGTTGGACTGTAACCATTTTACTGTACTTTCACACAAACATGAAATGATAGAATCTTTGGAATTTTATCTTTGCAATCAATAGTTTAGACAATTCTGAGACACTTTTCTCGTATGATGTTTCCCTCGCAAATGACATACAGTGATCCCTCGGTTAACGAGCGCCTCGGTTAATGAGATTTCGGTTAACGAGCGCCTCGGTTAATGAGATTTCGGTTAACGAGTTACCTCCCATTAGATTCTTAACTTCGGTTAACGAGCAGTCCCTCGATTAAAAATTTTTTTACGAGCAGACCTCAACATGTTTTCGCTTGCATTTGTCGGTCCACCAGCTGTAGAATTAGTCCGCCAATACAGTAATCGGTTCTTGGGCTTAAATTACTTACTATTTTAGTAAATATCAAGAAGTTTATACTATTCAATAATTTTTAAAGTTTTATATTAAATTTTTTAGTCATTTTAACAATTATTGAACATAATTGAAGTATAGGAAGCTAGTTTTTTGCACGCCATACAGCCTGTCAACACACCATACAGGCGTCAATCTCTGTGTCTTTTCAGTGGAGGTAACATCTCGCTTGAGACTCTCTTAAACTAAATGCTTTTTTTCTGTTTCCAAGCAAATTATTGGTCATTTTGAAATTTATTTTACATATTGACAATATATAATGCAGTGCAGTGTTGATTTAAAGAAAATAATCTTGAATTACACCAAGAGAACTAAAATTTTATGGGTGAAATGGTGCCGTGGGGTGACTTCTCTTCCACCCCAATGCCTTCTCTTCTCCCTTCTCCTCCACCCCCATTCTAATTCCCATCATCATCATCCAGGAGCCTTCTACATACACATCTCAAAGTAAGTGTACTTTACTACCTTTTTTGTTGATTTTAGGCAATTTTCGGTGAACTGGAACCAGTTACCCAAAACCCATTGAAACAATGGTTTCGGTTAACGAGCAACCTTTTAGAACGAATTGTGCTTGTTAACCGAGGGACCACTGTACTATATGCTGGGGGGCCCCAGTTAGGAGGTTAGGTTAGGTAATTGCTTATGGTTTGATGTCTACTGTACACACATGTCAATGCCATTAAAGCTTAACACTTGGAAGGAAGGTGTATAAAATAATTTCCATAGGTACCATGCTAACCTTTAATATTTTGTACTTCAACACCCCAAACAATCACTGTAACAAAATTTAACAATTTGAAATTCTTTGGTTTCAACCTGCCTTGGGTGGCCAGGTAGGTGTTAATGTGCATCCCTGGCATTCATTATGGAGTGCATGCAGGGTAAAGTGTAAGATGAAGACTCTTAGCATTTATGTACAGTAGGCTCTATAATAAAATTGGCAATTGACACATTGAAGGAACCCCTTGAAAAGTTAAACTTGTTCATTGTACATTAGTTGCCCTACCTGTCTTGATTCTAAAATGTAATGCAGTAATGGGATTAATCCTTCATTTTCTCTTAGCAGGGTGGATTTTTTAAAAACTAAACTAAAGAATTTCACATTGTTAAATTTTATGTAACAGGCTGTACTATTCTTATCTTTGATAAGTGATTGTTTGAAAAAAAAATGGGGTGAAGTACAAAATATTAAAGGTGAGCATGCTACAGTTGCCTCCAAACAGCCAACCTATATGACCTATAGCAAACCTATCCACCAATCAAGTCCGTCATTACACGACCAATACCCATTCATTCATAAATAGTGATACTACTGCGGTGGTGCCATTTGGAGAAACTGGTTACCACAGGGGGGTAGGAACACATTTCTACAACTGTACATGTCAAAATTATTTTATTATTTGAATGAACAAATGGTTAAGCAGAATTTCAGATTTATAGTTGCTTTCTTTCAGCTTATTCAATGATGCACCAAAATGATTTAATTTTTTGTTTCAGGTAAATGCATTGGAGCTACTACCTGAACAGACTCCAGCCATAAAGCACCTAGTTGATGGCAGAGTTTATGGACGTCTTTTAACTATTTTGTACGTACACAATATACAGTACATTACTGTCTTAATATTTTGTAAATTATTTCATCTTATACTATAGTCTTAAATTCATATGGTACAACTGTATATTACAGTACTGAATTATGGTACCATTGTACTGTACTTTGCCTCACTGATTTACAGATTTTTCAGCTGGTCATTGGTATATGTAAGCACTATAAATATTTCATGGTGCTTTGTTCCATATTTTTATTTTCTTATGGTACCAGCAGAATATGGGGCAAAGAAAAGTTTACAGTTGCTATGTCCATCAGTCTGTGTATGGGCCAGGGAAATTATCTACTGAACCACTCACTTGATAGCTTCTAATTTAATATGGAGGCTAATAATATAATGGCTTTTAATCATTAACTATTGAATCTCCCCACAGATTGATTACAAATATCAGGGCTTCACCACCTACTGGTACTCTACTGTATACAGTATACAAGGACTGAGTCCCAAAATACTTGAGCAGAATGATGGAATATACAGTACAGGTTGACAACCCTTTATCCGAAATTCTGAAAACCGAAATTTTTTTTGTGGAGCATTTTGGGGAGGGGGGGTATTAGCCCACCCGGGCACAGGTCACTGACCCACATAGGGGCCTGGGGGGTGAAAATGTAATAGTAATAATAATTATAATAATACAGGTAATAATAATAATGATAATACAGTAATAATAATTATTCATAGTAAATAAAATTTTTAATAAAAAATACACAAAATAAAATAAGAATGATAACAATAATAATAATAATAACAATAATACTATAATAATGAAATAATAATAATAATAATAATAATAATAATAATAAAGAAATACAAGAATGAAAAAAGATCAAAAGTGAGAAACATGACCTAGGCCTATGAATTATTATTATAATTCTTCTTATTATTATATTTTAGCCCCCAGGCCCCATTGTGGGTTAGTGACCTGTGCCCGGGTGGGCTGATCCCTGTATATATAAAAAAGAAAAAAACATTCTGAAATCCAAAAAATTCCAAAAACTGAAATGCATCTGGTCCCAAGGATTTCGGATAAGGGATTGTCAACCTGTACAGCATAGTGCAGGCAGTGTCCGTCTTACGACAATAATATCTCATGCATAGCAAATAATGTAATTACTGTAAATAGAGTGATGTTAAGCAATATATAATGATGAAAATACAGTAAACCCTTGCCATTCGCAAGGGATAGGTTCCAAGAAATGGCGCAAATTGGCAAAACCGCGAATAGCCACTTGTTTAATACCTTAGTGCACCAATATACAGGTATACCTATACTGTGTATGAGAAACTTAAGGCACAATACTGTACTTACATTCGTATGTGGAAAAGTCTGGAGCTTTCTCAGTTTTCACCATGTTCTTGTCACTAACAACCTGTGCTACTTTGGCACTTGCTTGAACAGAATCACGTACAGGTATTGCCTGTTCGTTCTTTCTTATGTACCGCACTGTGGATTCGTTCACACCAAACAACCGACTAACTACGGTAGCACTCATCTCCTCCTTTAACTTGTCTAATAATTCAACTTTCTTTACCAGAGTCATCACTGACTTTTACCTTTTATGTTCCACTCCACTAGCATCACTAGCACTGACACTAGGCAGTCTTTTCGAGGTCATTTTCACAAAGAAACACGAAAGTTTTGATAGTATGACACGAGATGCTTGGTCATGGGTACTGGGTGAGAACAAACAGAGCGAGATGAGATGCCGCAGGCGCGTGGGGTGATTCATTGCGCTGAGGGAGAAGGCTTGCCTGCTAGCCACCCGTGCCATCAGCTGCTTACCGTGAATCGTTGAAATCGCGAATCATAAACCCGTGAATGGAAGGGGTTACTGTAATGTAAAAAAATGGGATTTTAATACAAAAAATTGCAATGAAGTATTGGGATCTCGTTCATAAGTGCGGGTGTTGGGAAGTTGGACGGTCATAACTCGGGGACTGTCTGTACAGGTACCTTTCTTTAGCTAGTTCTTCTTACAGGTACTCCGTTTAAGAAACACATAAGTGCAGTATACCAGACAAATTACAGTTTGTTTAGACCCTAGCTACATATTTATGTTATAATCTTAGTTCATACTGGATGTATGGAACTTATATTACTGTATTATATTAAAAGAAGATACAATATGTGACATATTATTCAACATAGTTATTTATTTTCTTCGTGCTGGTTTCTACGGTTACCAGTACATGTTACAAGTCATGGATTACAAAATATCCCAAGTCATTGTATTGTAACAGTGCCATGTCTTTGGAGTAAAGTGTCATATTTTTGAGAAAATGTATATGAGAATTTAGTTTAGACAAAGTTCCCGCCAAAAAGCCAGTGTAAAGAGGCATACTCCAAGCTGCGCTGGGTAGATCAAGTTCCAGCCTGTGTGCCAACACCTTAGCCAATCATGGTAACCTATGAGTGTGATGTCATAGCCACAGTTAAGCTGATTGAGTGAGACCTGGGAATTTTGTACCCAGCAAGAAGTGCTCTCGATTTTCAAACGGGAGTCTGTGTCACTGTTTGGAGGTGTTTAAGTGTAGATGCGTGGGTGTGTGGGTCGGTGGATTCAACAGGGTGAAATATAGAAGTAAATGTACCCTGTGGTAAACTCCCTTTATGTGAGGTTATATTTTGAAGTTAGGTAGGAGTGTTGGTTATGGTTTTTAAAGTGTAATTGTCCATTCTTAATAACGTCTTTAATAAATGAAGAACTGTTAAGAATAGTTCTCAGTTCCCTTCCCTTATGCATTGAGTAATATATTCCTCGTAAGTGTCTTTGTGTTTTGCAGTGATACAGTGAGCCACGAGTAACAACATAACTCCATATTTCCCCAAGTATATATATATGTTAGTGCATGATATACTTATTCTTGTATTTATTATCATCCACTCCCCTCCTTCTCCCCCCTTCCCCTTGGTATGAGGGTGACCACCTACCACAAACTGGCCATCCTCTCTCAACCACAGTCTTTCCCTCCACCCTTGCTCCTCCATCCTCACCTTCACACTCTCACGGGTATAAAGAACAAAGAAAGAAAGATTAAAAATAATAAAGGAGAATTAAAGAATAGAGATAGTAAAATTAAGTAAATAAATAGAAATAAAACAGGAAATACAACTCATTTAATTATAGTAAACTGTATGATAAATAAAACATGCTCCTAAGTATCATAATATTGTATAAAGTTATCATGCTGTAATAAAATGAGTTACATTTACTTTATTTCTTATTTCTATTTATTTACTTAGTTTTACTTTTTTTATTATTTAATTCTTTTTCTTATTCTTAATCTTTATTACTTGTATTTGGTTTTGGGATTATTTTTACAACAATAAGTTGTAAAACAATATCCTGAAGTTCCATCACCTAGTCTTACTGATATTGCCTGCCTAGGGCACTTTGATTACAGTTCCAGTTAGTATAATTGTTTATTTATTTTTTTTCCTTTTATTGTGCAACTTACTGAATACATACCTTAAATGTTAATATGAGATACTTTTTGTGATTTAAATTTTTTTACCATTTTTTACCATTTAAAATCACTTATGTCAGCCACCTATTGAAATTTCAAAAATTATTAATGGACATATTGTTTTCTTGCTCTAATATTTTTACTATGTCCCATTTTTTGATGGTGATGTGCTGTATTTGTTTTATTATGTTAATTACAGGAAAAATGAAGATGTGAAAAAATCAGATTTGGTTGGCTTGATACCAGATCTTCAGGCCATAATAAAGGGTGAGTAGTGCATTTTTACTTTTGTTTTACAGTATTCTTATACAGTACTCTGCACAATATACTTTCCACTGCTCATGATTTTGGCCACCCTGCAACATAGCAGAACATATGTGAGTGTGGAAAGTTATTCTTGCAGCAGCTGTAATTGGCTAATGTTCCCTTTTGTGGTGCCTGTAGTGTAGCATATGGAGCTCCCTTTTCCATTAGTTACCTCTCAGGCTCAGGCTGGCTTTCTGTAGCAATATTCCCTCATGCAGCTCATTATCATATATAGATGATTGAATCCTGATATTCTATTTAAGATGGAAACAGGATTGAGTGACTCAATAGCCCTTCCACTTCTCAAAGGCATGTGAGATGGTTGATGCTGAGCTAGTTGGTTCAACTATCCTGTGTTGTGGTTAAACAAGCAAATGTGGTGATGCATACAATCACGTGTCGATCTCATCAGTCTTCTGTCTTTTATGTCAATGCTTTTTTCGTGAAGGACTTTTTAGTGCTTTGATTACAGCCAGAAGATGCTGACTACAGCAACAGTCACGCTAGTCACTGTAGATTGAGGCTTGCTGGCTGATATATAACATATGTTGCCCTCTATGCTTAGTAGTAAAATGGAATTTCGGGATTCAAACCTCCAATATTACAGTATTTTGTGCTTACAGTTTGCGACATTCAGATTTTTATGTAAACTTGCATTGTTACAGATCACTTTGCTGGCCCTAATCTTATCATCTTTGAAGATGTTGCTTCTGGCAATCAAACAGAAGTGACAAAACTGACTTTGCTTCTTTTGTATATAATGATGGTAACTGAATCAAAACTCCGAAGCAGACTTCTTTCCTCCCCCTTAATGGATCAGTCAACACAAATAAAAGTAAGTTTACAAGACTATGTATGATACATTTTATATTTCCTTTACATTTCAGATAAACAACATAATTATGAGTGATATGATGTAAACATTTTACTTTATGAAAGGCATGTGCAGTTATTTAATGTTTATTTTTCTGTACAAAGTGTAGGTTGGGTTAGTTACAAAAGTCACTTATAATTATGAATAGTAAGTAACTTTATGTACTGTACCAGTTACTGTAATTCTGATAATGAGTGGCTTCATAATAGAGCTACTTGATTACGAGCATGTGCGATCACCATGGAACAAAGCTTGGGGTTGTAGTGCACTGGGTGGCCACATACCGGCAAATGGGTAGACTGCATCTGTCAAGTGCAGTGAGATATGCATTCCATATTCTGTGTTGGCAGGACAATGACCATCGTTCGTGCATTTTTATTTATTTTTCATAAATAGTGGGGGGGGGGGTCTTAATACGTCACCATTGTTAAAGTGAAATATCGTAGATAGGGAAATAAAAAATTGGGGTATATCTGTGCTATATACAGTACATGTGTACAGAATGTGAGAAATCTGACGTCCAGTTCATCACTACTGTACAGTATAGTAATGTAAAGATATAAAATAAGAGTGTAGGGGTATATACTGTGAGTGGGAGAATATCAAGTCTATAAATCACCATAACACACAGGCACTTGTTAGCTGTGAGAAGAATGCACATGGAGTGGCTGATGTCTTTGTGCAGGTCAGGTGGTACATTTAAATCTATCAGAAACACTATTACAGGTACATGTATTTTCATTTCAACAACAGTGCTGGCATGCTTAACCACATGTTTTGCCTTTACAACACTGCCAATTGCATTTTTCAAAATTATGAGAGATAGTACTGTAGTGTACTAAAAATACACAGACGTAGCATCAAAGTATACTATCTCTTGAACATAATGTATGTGGACCACCAGTAAGCACAGGGCAGAATCCATGGCATCTCCGGTCATGTGTGTAAATAACTGACTTTCGTTAATCAATCCAGAGGACCAAACTAATATTTGATTTGATGTTATATTCTGTTACTGTATTAAATTTTTTTTTTTTTTTAGAGTTTGAATGAATCATGTGTCGGGTATAAATTGTCTAACCAGACTAGACTGATTTTGTAAATGTAAATAAAATATGACAGATGTCTTGTCTGCAAAAGCTCATATTTTTATAATAGTAATATTAGTGAAAATAATGTACAGTAATAATATTTATAATAATTTTATGGTGTTCTGACAGGTGAAGTATCTGATTGAGTCTATCCAGAAGAGAGGTTCAGGGATGAGCACCAAATTCTTAAATATTCTCTGCACAGAGAAGTTAGGTGAGCATTTTTTCTTTTAGTTTTGCATTATCCTTTATATTGCAGGTCTTAGTGAGAAATATTTTCTATTTCTTTGAATATATTGATACTGTACAGTATTAAAAAAAATCACCCATTTCCTTAAAAAATTGGCAAAAGTGGGGGTGCAGCTCAATATCATATACAAATTTTGATAATGCCTCAAAATTAGCTGTAGATATTAATATAATTCCTTGTGCACTCTAGCACCACCTCTAACCAGTCCTATCACCATTACTACCTTACCCTAAAGTAAAAATTACCATCAGTATCACCATTATTATCATCACGCTACACATGATCTATTTGTGAGTTTGTTTACTAGAATGAAGTTCTGTGAACTGTACTTACTGTGTCCAAAACCTTCAAAGTACTGTAATAATAAAACATTAAATCATTTACTGCTGTTAACTTGACCATTCTTGTTAAAAAAAATTCATAAAAAAATAATGTATGGTAGATTTAGGAGGGTAAATGTGTACAGTACAGTATATCTCTACATTACAAGATGAACATATGTTCCCATTTTTGAAGTCTAGAAAGCAAAAATTTATAGTCAACTACTATCACTCATATCCTAATTTTATATAATTGGAACATGGCATCATTAAAAAGGGTTGCTGACTTTCCATATACATTAAATAGTACATTGTCAAACCATTATGAAAGCTTTTCAAATTCATATACAAGAGTGCTTCAATTTACAAAAGGGATATGTTCCTGAAAAATCTTTTGTAAATCATAGCCATTTTTCCCATTGACTTATCATTATATAAAGGGAGATGCATTCCTCTGAAAAAAATTCCCCCAAACATAAAAATAAAAATTTTTAAGCAATTTTTTGTGAGAAACAATACTTTTAGGCATACTATGTATTAATCATAATAACATTAATAAAGCAATACAGTACAGTATCAAGTTTATCTAATCCATGTAAGAATATATTCTACCCCGGGAAACTGTTGGTGGTCGGTGCTTAGGGTGATGGTGTGACAACAGTGTCAGATTCCTTCTCCTGTTGTGTTGGTCCTGTGAAAAAGCACTCAGCAATTGGTGACACATCCATGGTCAAAATCAAGATTATCGGGTGTATCAACTTCACTATAAAATTCCTCGTCCTGTTGTGTGAGGCCTATAAAACACTCAGAGCAATTGATGGAACATTCATGGCTATTATCAAATTCCTCCTCCTGTTGTGTGGGGCCTCTTATTTGGTGGTCAGTAAGCCATACTTTTAGATCAAGATACTGTACTGTACAGTAGCACCTTTATATGACATATTGTCTGTATATGTATATTTAAGCACAGAAACATTGCCACACACTAACCTGCACTACAGTTCACTGCTTATTGTTCATGTTCAGCTCAGGAGGCTCTCAGATGCCTGTTAGCAACTCAGTATCTTCCGATGCAATAAATTCTCCATTGCATACCTCTTGGGCAATGACAGGTTCTGCCTTGAGAAGTTTGCCAATAGTATATACTGTAGTATCTCAAAGATTCTTGCTCACTTTAATCTAAGTTTTATGCAAAATTTTAACAATGATTTTAGGTAGATGCTACATATACAATTATACACTTATTGTATTAGAATAATGAAAATCCTAATGAAGACATTTTATTTTCTGCTTTCAGGGTATAAGGGGATATCAACACAGTGCCAGACTCCAATCTACACTAATGCTCCATGGGGATCTCCAAAAGTTTACTACAGTTCTCCCAAAGCCTCCCCTCTTAGGGATCTTGTTTATGTAGGTTTAATATATAATTACAGTACAGTACATTATGTTGTTGGTGTAGACTGTTACAATTGTATGCGATGCTGATGGTCCTTAGGTATTTGGTGATAATTGTCAGTTGCTTCCAAAGATATTTTAAAGATGTTTTGTTGAAGGAATGCCTATGTTAGGTGAGTGTTGGACAGTGAGTAGATGAGTTGTAGTGTGTGGGGCAGCATTGTTATGTGGTTGTGGGTTTTGGACGAGTTATATATTGTGTTGAAATTGGTTTATGGGTGATTGGTAACTACAACTTTGGAAAGATCTACAGTACTTTTATGACTCGGAAGAAAGTGGATTTTGAGTTCTGGATATTTTTGTGTAGTGTATTCATTATGCTGCTTAATTGAAATCTGGAAGGGGGAGATTGCCAAATTGTTCTGTATCTGTTTGTGAATTATTGTATTGGGAGGTGTAGGTGGGATTGTACCGAGTATGTAGGGGAATAATGTTGTTCTGAGGTAAATTTTTTGCCTCAAGAGTATGGGTAGGGTGTACAGTAGTTCAACACAAAATTGGAGACTGGAACTTGTGATGTATGGGAAGAATTCTTGGTGTAGAATGTTTATGGCTAATATTTGTGGTATTAATGCAATTGTTATTGATCTGAGGGGTTTGTTTTAGGTCGTTTGAATTTTTGGGTGTTAGAAGATGTTGCTTGGGTTAACTTAGTTTTAATATGGTGAAGATGATTGTTATTGCACTGTTACAGGTGGTTAAATTTGTCTCAAGTTGGTATTTGTGAGTGTTAAGTTTGCATATGACCATGACAATATCATTTGTGTGTTATGTGAAAATTGCATTTGTATGTTCAATATGATGTCAAGGATTTTAGGATGTTTATACAATGCAAAGAAATGTGAACAGAGTCATATGTGGGTGATGATAATGAAGAACTTGCCCAAGGATTGAAAGAGAATGGGTGAAGAAAGTGACTAACAGAATGGAGAACATAATGGCTGCTGGGCTCTGAAATGCTGTAATTGCAGAAATGCTGAAAGCATCAAACAATGCTGATTGAACTGACTAATGCAAATATTATGGAATGTATGGTTCCAGCTGAAGAGTGTGATTGTGAATACTAACAATGGAAAAACAAAAATGTGGTGCACTTAAACTTGGAAGCTATATAGGCCAGGAGATGTTAGACTTAGGTCAGGTTATGGAAGCTGTAGAAAGAGTGAATGAAAAATTGATGTGGGAGAGAGTGTCCATCAATGAAATGCAATTTGGGTTCATGCCCAGGAGGGAGACTGCAGAGGAAATATTTATGGCCTGGCAGCTATAAGAGAAATATTTATGGAAGGAGAGAAAGCTGGACAGTAATCTGTATTTGTAAACTTAGAGAAGGCATTTGTCAGGGTCCTCTGTGGGTAATACAGTGGGAAATAAGATAGATAGGGGTTCAGGACTGTCTTGTGAGAGTGATTAGGGCATTGTATGACTTCACTCTTCTACTGTATTTACTCAATCTTTATCTACTTTTACATGTACCATCTATATATCTTTTATCTTACTTATGCAAATCTCAAAGAGGGAGGGCAGTGTAAGTCAACAGATAGAAATATAAATAAAATCAATCGAGATTTTCTCCCATAGAGCCCACCTTTCCGTATGCAAAAGCTCCTGAATACCAAGACTCGGGAGGTGAAACAGTTGCAACAACAAATACACAACATGGAGAATGACAAGCAGGAAATAGAAGTCAGTTTGGAGAACTCACATAAAAAGATTAGTAAATTAAGTAAGTGTTAAATTCCTTCTTTAATTATATCCACTAGAGTCTAGACTAAGGGTCCGCAACCTTTGTATACTAATCGGCCACTTAACTGGTCTGTCGTCAGCGATTGGGCACAGCTGTACTCTGGTAACATAAGTCAACAATGCATTCTACAGGACTGAATGATCAATCAGAAATGGAGGACTATTTTACTTGAAGAAGAATTCTGATAACACTGAAATGCATTCTAAGTTTAGCTTTAAGTTTAAGTAAATTAGTCAGTACTATACTGTGTAGTTACAGTATAGCAAAAATGGAACTAGAGACAATAGCTTAATTTGATGTTCTGTAAAAAGCGGAAACAAAACTCTTCCATCAATACATACTAAGGTAATATAAAATTATCTTCTAGCAATACAAAATGCATTATTCACATTCTAAATACTGTACAGATATGTGTGGTAAAACACTTTATGATAATTATACTGTACAGTATAGTACAGAAACAAAAAAGCATAATGTGGTATTTTTAGAAAAAACTGCCGGCTATTATAATAAGGTAGCTAGACGTTGGCATTTAGTAATACAAAATTAAGGGTTCACAATGCAAATATAGAGAACAATATTAAATCTAATGTGAGGCTTGAGCGTGGATATGATTTACAATTTCAGCAAAATTTGGTAACTGCAGACTTCACAAGTGTTGTGGTGGAAGTGTTGGTAAGCTTTGACTGGTAAATGTTTTTCAGAAAGTTAGCACATCAGATGTCTGCTTACAGTACTTTAGTACATTGATCCAGACATTGAAAGAACGATGAAAGCTACTCTTTCAACATTGTTTGATGCACTTGTACATGACTCAAAATCTCCATAAGTGACTCTGAGGGTTATTGAATGCATCTCAGGACATTGTTCTGCAAGTCAAGGAGCTCCATTTATGCCAAGAATACCATTAAAGCAGTGTTAAGATGTATAAAGTGATTACAGTTACATATACTGTACAGTACTGTACATTCAGTAAATGTGAAAGTATCATATGTACAGTGCTGTACATGAATGGACAGTGTATGCTAGTGAGTAGAGGGTGTATATACAGTATTCAGTGTGTACAATCCCTCCATGGAGGAGAGGAGAGTGACAGTTAGCACCACCTGCTACAGGAGATGGTACAGGACAAAGGCAGGTCATCCTGGTATCATTTCACCATTTGGCCTGCCTGCATGACAAGACAATAACATCTGCTGGTGGGTTAGTACAGTATAGTGTGTACAGTACTATGTTTTGTTTATTTACAATATAGTCTGTCCAACTGCAGTCAGACGCAGAAAAAATCTGGGGGTGAGAAAAGGTCTAAATATTCAGAAATATCCCGAACCCAGAACTGCTTTGCACCAATTATTCCGGCTAATTGGGAGATTACTGTACAGCAATAGTATTATGCCCACGAACAGTGATTTTGTAACATAAAAAGTCTAGAAATTCTATAAGAGGTTAACAATAGAATAGCCAAAAATAAGATGGCTCTCAAATTTAATGCAGATAATTATCAATCACTCACCAGACAAAAATGGAAATGTGGCTTAAGACCACTGATGACATTTTTTATTTCTAGAAAGACAGTTAATTAAAATTAGGTACAATGTAATCATGATAGACAATTTTAGTCAATGTTGGCAGAAAGAAATTGTAAGTAGGAATAAATATATATGTTAGTATTACAGGTACCAGGATGTTTCATATGCTCTGTCTACTATGGTATCTTTTAATATGCTCATAACCTTTTCATCAAAAAAAAGTGAGTAGAGAGAAAATAAGAATTTGAATACAGTAGTCTTAATGTGTAATTAAAGATATAATATATCCTTTTCAGAGGATGAGTTGGTGAAAACACAAAAAGAATTACAGGATCTTTTGAGAAGTCGCGATGAATTAGAGACAAAAATGGTGACAGGAGAAGATTTGGTCCAGCAACAAGTAAGAGAGTAGAGTTCAGTACTGTACTGTATTAGCTTTCTAATATTTGTAGTCTCTTGCTCTATTAATCCCTATTTGGAAAGCAAAGAGGAGTGTGAAAAATTTTTATTCTGTGAAATTTTATACAGGTTGTACCTCTCTAGTCCGGCATTCTGTGGTCCGGAAACTCCCGTGGTCCGGAACGATTTTAGTTTGTCCAATAGGTAGATAGGCAGCTTTTTTTCTTTTCTTTTTTTTTACTTATCTGAATTATTATTATTATTACAGGAGTATTAAATTTTTGCCCCTCAGGCCCAATGTGGGTCAGTGACCTATTCCCGGGTGGGCTAATCCCCTTAATAAAAATAAAAAGTCGCAGGAAATTAAGGTTTGTTTACATCCGGCAGTTCGGCTGCTCTCTCTCTCTCTCTCTCTCTGCTGTCTATACAGAGTACAACATTTAACCCTTCAATATATATGAGCAGTAAATAAGTGTTGCTTTCATCTCTCTCTCTCTCTCTCTCTCTCTCTCTCTCTCTCTCTCTCTCTCTCTCTCTCTCTCTCTCTCTCTCTCTCTCTCTCTCTCTCTCTCTCTCTCTCTCTCTCTCTCTCTCTCTCTCTCTCTCTCTCTCTCTCTCTCTCTCTCTCTCTCTCTCTCTCTCTCTCTCTCTCTCTCTCTCTCTCTCTCTCTCTCTCTCTCTCTCTCTCTCTCTCTCTCTCTCTCTCTCTCTCTCTCTCTCTCTCTCTCTCTCTCTCTCTCTCTCTCTCTCTCTCTCTCTCTCTCTCTCTCTCTCTCTCTCTCTCTCTCTCTCTCTCTCTCTCTCTCTCTCTCTCTCTCTCTCTCTCTCTCTCTCTCTCTCTCTCTCTCTCTCTCTCTCTCTCTCTCTCTCTCTCTCTCTCTCTCTCTCTCTCTCTCTCTCTCTCTCTCTCTCTCTCTCTCTCTCTCTCTCTCTCTCTCTCTCTCTCTCTCTCTCTCTCTCTCTCTCTCTCTCTCTCTCTCTCTCTCTCTCTCTCTCTCTCTCTCTCTCTCTCTCTCTCTCTCTCTCTCTCTCTCTCTCTCTCTCTCTCTCTCTCTCTCTCTCTCTCTCTCTCTCTCTCTCTCTCTCTCTCTCTCTCTCTCTCTCTCTCTCTCTCTCTCTCTCTCTCTCTCTCTCTCTCTCTCTCTCTCTCTCTCTCTCTCTCTCTCTCTCTCTCTCTCTCTCTCTCTCTCTCTCTCTCTCTCTCTCTCTCTCTCTCTCTCTCTCTCTCTCTCTCTCTCTCTCTCTCTCTCTCTCTCTCTCTCTCTCTCTCTCTCTCTCTCTCTCTCTCTCTCTCTCTCTCTCTCTCTCTCTCTCTCTCTCTCTCTCTCTCTCTCTGTGTGTGTGTGTGCTTGTTTATACAGAGTACAACATTTAACCCTTCAATATATATGAGCAGTAAATAAGTGTTGCTTTCATATTCTTATGTAGAGTAATGATATGTTTTCACATGTGTGCACTTACATGAAACTTTATTAATTTACTTTTACTCATTTACATGCACACACTATCCTAAGGGCAAAGCTATACTGTACATGTACTCAAAATATTGTACTAAATGATTACTAAGATTTTTGTCTAGTGCAAACTATAGCATGTTTGTATTCAAATTTATCACTATCTTATAAGAATTCCAGCAATGTAAATTATTTTCTTCCCGGTCACTTCTGTGACATTTTATAAGCAAAAAATAAAAACTCAATTTTAAGGACATAAATAACCAAACAAATACTTCACTAGACCTTGGCACCAACTGTCAAACATGTCACTGTCACCTCCCCTCCCAGCCAGGGTTTGGTGGTTTTAGGCTTAAAGTTTTTATCTTATATAATATCACAGACTAAAGTTAGGAGCATATAATTTGCATTGCTGGAATCCTTGCACGACAGTGAATAATTTGAATCTAGACATCATATATTTTGCACAAGAGATAAAAATATGAGTACATTAGTTTAGTACATTTTAATAATGTGCAAGTTTTTTAACTGTATTTTTGGGTAGATTTACATAAATTTCTTCATTTATTTTTATTAATTTACATGCACACTACCCGGGGTGTAGGGGTTAAAAAGCAACTGATGTTTTTCCCAGATAGGGATAACAGATTGTTTTTATTGCTATAGCTTTATGGAAATTAATTTGCACGTGGCACAATTTGCTCTGTTTCATTTAGGATATTGTTTACCATCATAAGGTAGCCAATTTACGGCTAAAGCAGGTTAGTTTAGGTAAAATGTATTTTCTATGAAGCTATTCATTTATATTTACCAGTACAGTATTGTACTATGATGATCCACATGATCTTGATTAGTAAGCTGATTGCAGCATGTAAAAACAAGGAAGAAACAAAGGGTTGAGTATGTGTATATTTTAATGTGGTTGTATGCTTGCATGGGTGGGCAGATGTATATGGTGATCTGATTATTTTGAAATTATTCTGTGTGGAAAACCTGTTAAATAAGGATACATTACTTAGTTTGTTGGTTATTGATTGATATGTTGGCCTATTCACTGACAAAGTAAAAAACTTGGTTGGCTCCTCACCTCAGGTGCATCGGTTGGGGAAAGAAGCTGCACATCTGAGAAAGGAGAATGCTTCTTTGCAACAGACTGTGAATATGGTGATGGAAACTAATGATGAGCTCACCACCAAAGTAAGTACAGTATTCTATGGTAATTTAACAGTTAAATTTGTTATTTTTTTAATAATACAGATGAAAATACACAACTAAGGTAAAATCTCGATGCACTGTAATTTAATACACCGGTATTTGCTGTTTTTGGAATCTCTGTGGTGGTTCAGACCACTCCTCTATTCACCAGAAATATTTGTAAAAAGTCCAGAAAATCCAGCAACAGTCCATATGGTTTGTGTGTGTGTAGGTGAGGTTGAGAATCTATGGGTGGGTGTCGTGCAGCACGTCTCTCAGTCTGAGTCATGCCTTCTTATGTATCATATCAGTGTGCTGCACCTCGCTATCTATACTCCGCTACATAAAATTTTTATGTAGAGTACAAATTATCTTAAGCGGGGTTGCTGTACTCGAGGGTTTTAAGAATTGTGTTAAAATAACGGAGCCTCAGCCAACTGATTTTCATTTAACAGAAGTGAAAAATATTAATTTAATAAATACTGTATAATAAAAGTAATTACTGTCATGCGCCGGTTAATGTCCTAGATACGTTCTTGGAAACGTGATGTTAACCGAAATAGACGTTGTCCGAAATTACAGAAACCCATGGGATTTATTCTAATTGGTTCCAGGCACCCAACCTCAAGTTTTCCATTTTACGACCATTTAGACCCACTTAATATATATATAATGTTATGGTAAATATCATAAACACACATAGGCATGGCTAGGTTTATTACAAAGTGATGAAAAGGATACCATCAATACTGTACAGTGGGTAGTCCACAAAACATGTAGCTATGTCTCTCTTTATTCGAGTGCCCCATCATAGGAGTCCGTTTTCTCTCACTTCAGGACGCCTGAGTCGTCCGTTTTCTCTTAATCTTAGAGTGCAGTGCACCAGAGACTTTGTTATTCCTTAGTAATGACACAGAATTTGAAATTGCAACCCCAATTGCAACTGGGGTTGCAATTGTTGAGGCAACTAGATATGTCTGATTACAGCAAATGTGTTATTGTCAATTTGTAGGTGAAAGATTTTATCCTCAATAGATGAAGGTTAACATTACACCTGGAGGCAAATGCCTAAGGAAGGAAGGATATTCCTTTAACATATAATATCTGGCCAGTATGGGGAGGATCATCGTGTCTCCGTCAGGGGGTCCTGGAGTGGTGGTCCAGCAGGCGTCACGGAAGTGTTGTGTGGTTTTTTTTTTGGGGGGGGCACGGACGTATATGCGATCGGACGTTGTTCGGTTGGACGTTAACTGGCGCATGACTGTACAGTTCATTCAAGAAAAAATCAATCAAACATTAGTGAAAAAGAACCATTGATAAACCATTGGTATTTACATCCTCTAAGCCAATCAGGGATTATCTCAAAATGTACAGTCTCTCCTTGACTTACGACAACCCGAACATACGACGGCCATGGTCGTATAAAATATTTTTCACATTGCGTATTTTCGAGTCCCGACTTTAGTGATCGTGCTGTGCACTGACAAAATTTTCATTTCTAATTCCCTTTAAAATAGCTGGCAAGCGTAAAAGTGAGAGTTCTCGTGGTGCTGAGAAGAGAAAGAGACACTAAAAAAAATGAGTAAGACCCCACCTCCTCCTCCCTGGGGTCTTCCTTGCAAGTTGGTTTGGTTTGAGTTTGGTTATGTTTTCCACTGTTGACTGAGGCTGACAAGGGAAAATGGGGAACACTTGTACTGTGTGAACTCATGACAAGCTAATTTCTAACCTCTGGGCAAAATGATCTTCTGAGACTCCTTATATAAGGAATATGGCTGTCAAGGGGAGCTAGGCTGATCTTTGGATAATATGTAGTTTTTTAAGTTTAGGGTTTTCTATTCCAAAATTTACATGCCTATTAGGTATATTCATGAGCCTTTTTTTTCCAGGCTCAAGTATAAAATGGGATTTCAGAAGCAGTTCATCAGTTTTCTTGCCATTTTAGAAATTCTGATTTCTTTCCTCAGAATGAGTCATTAAGTAAACGGCTGATGCTAGTCTCTGCAGAACGAGACAGACAGCAGGAGGAGATGTCAACCCTGTACATGGCCAAATTAGAAAATGAAAACATCATCGAGTCACAAGCATATCATATGAAAGATATGAAGGTTTGTGCATTAATGTTATGAATAATATGGATTTGCTGAGTTGTTATTTTAATTTTGTAGTCATCTTGATTGCCTGAATTAGTTGACATTTGGGTCACTGTCTTAATTCTTCACTTAAAATTTTTGCAGCTTCCTTGTATCACAAAAACCATATTCATCCTCACTCCACTTTGCCCATCCCACACTCACTCTTTTCCTCACTATCTTCTGCGTTTCCCTTCACCTGCAGAATATTTAGAAATGTCTGTTAATGCCAGCTCCTCATTTGTCCTATTCAAAATCCTGATCTCACACCCCCCTGATTTGCTAAACACCATAGCATTTTCTTCCCATCATTTATGCCCTATACCATTTTGATGCCACTTGATATTTCACCATGAAATTTTTATTATAAAGACAGGAACATGAAACATACCCTATTTTTCTACATAGCCTCCCTATGTAGCACAATACTTCTCCCATCAATATACAAGTTCATGAGTGTTTGTAGGGTAAATAATTTTTGACTTGAAACATTGCCATACATTATCCAAAGGGTTGCTATGTTTGCTGCTTTGGTCTTCATGCCTTTAGGTAAATATAAAGGTGGATTATTCATAAATTCGTTCATATGATTTGACAGTACTGTATAAGAAAATTTTTAACAAAATTTTTATCCCTTAGATTCAGCTTGAAGACCTTCGACAATGCCTTCTAGAGCAGAAACCATCGAACCATGCGATAGAGGAGTCTTTTGAAGTTGATTCACCCATGATCTTCACTGATGCTCCTTCACCTTCAAATTTTAGTCCTGGTAGCTAAGTTTTGTCAGTGCAGTATGCCTCTCTGCCCCTTAATACTAATTTTGTTGAGTTTTCTCTTTTTTTTCTTCCTTTTTTTTTTTTTTTTTTACAATTTTAAGAATTCCTTGGCTAATTTTTCCATGATAAGCTGTAGATCCCTGTTTAAGTCCAACTCATGAATTCAAGTTGGTGACAATAACTCTTAAGAGATTCTTTATTCAGTTCTTGATAACAGTGGAAGCCACTATGTATGAATTGATGTAAGTATCATATTTTGTTATACAGTAAAGCCTCAAATAACAACAGTAATGTGTCCTCCAATATTGCAGTGTAAGGTGAATCATCGTATCGTGAATCATTAATTACCATTAAAATAAAGCAATAATAATGAGATGCGTTCCAAAGTCTGACCTTTTCATATCTTTTGTGTAGCTTTTTCTCCCAAAGCAATAAAATTTATGAAAAATGCAAACTATATTCTTTAAATAATGTTTGTGAATGCATCTTATACAATATAAATTAACACTAATAATATGGTCACACAAGAGGAGATGGGACACCCTTGTTTTCATTAGTGTTTACACCCGGAACGATGGTTGTAGCTGTAGTAAAATTAATGTAAAAATAAATAATATATGTTTTAAGTGGTGTTATTTATTGTTAATAAATGGAACAATAGAAGTAGCTAATCACTAATGACAAAGAAAAAGGCGAGATGGATTAGGAACGCCAACATATACGTGCACATTCAAGGAAACATAGATTCATTTATCTTATAATAATACAATTCATTCATAATATGTAGAATATTAAAACACACAAGGATAAGAGACGGCATTGTTGTTGTCAGTTTACACCCATAATGTCAGTTATCCATATGAAACTGAAGAAAATAAGACCCTGGTTGTTGTTGTAGTATGTAATATGTATGTTTTAATTAACGTTAATTAATGTACAGTAAAGGTAACCACTGATATTAAAGAAAAAAAGCAAGACTGATTGTGGAACACCAACGTATATGTGTGCATTGAAGGAAACATAACATCATTTATTTTATTAAGAATATGTACAAAAGATTCATTATTGTTTATTACTGAATGAATATTTGATTGAATTAATGTTTATATATGCAAAATGAACAATACAACTCATTAATAATACATAGAATATTAAAACACACAAGAGAAGACGAGACGGCATTGTTTTCGTTAGTTTACACCCGTGACAATGGTTCTACATATGAAACTGAAGAAAATAAGACCCTGGTTATAGCTGGAGTAAAATTAATGTAAAAGATGAATTTATGTGTTTTAAGTTATGTTATTTAATGTAAATAAATGGTACAATAGAAGTAGCTAACCACTAATGGTAATGAAATAAAGCAAGACGGATTGGGAATGCCAATTTATACATGAGCACTCAAAGAAACATAGCGTCATTTCTCTACATAAGAATATGAAAGCAACACTTATTTACTGTTCATATATGTTTCAAGTATTACTTATGAAAGTAAAAAAAAAATTTTACTTACCAATGGTGGTAAAGTCTAAAATATAAGGACAGCCAAGGATGATGTGTGAGGTTTGACTTGGGCGACGAAGTCATCAGGTTCAACTCTGGCTGAAGCTAGTTTTTCATAAAGATGTCAAAACTGTTTCTGAAGTTGTTGATGAAACTGCTTATGATGCTGAATTTGATGGTGTAGCTGAAGTTGATAATTAAGGCCTTCGAATAATAAAGCTGTCGAGAGAACCTTGCACAGCTGCTTTCTTTGCTCATTATACATCTTTATGTAGAGGTCATTTGCATTTTTTATGTCCCTGTTAATTTTAATGCTTCATTCTGTTCATGGCTCCACTTCAGAAAATATATTCATTGCCTGCTCCCTATAATATCCACAGACTTCACACCCTTTTCATATCGTTTTAACACATCTAGTTTCTCAGCTAAGCTCAGACACTTTCTTTTAGCTTTTAAACCATCGCTACCACCACTTCCTCTCTTGCTCATGTTGAATAGGGATGCAAAAATGCCATAAAAACCTGAGAAAGTCTTCTTCCTTTTCCTGTTCAGATGTGTGAAAACAAAAGGGCTGCCAAGCTGCGACTGTTTATACTAGTGATGCTGGCGTCACCACTCACAAGCCCGGCAGCCACCTTGTGGAAGGCGTGGTTTTTTTGTGCTTTTTATTTTATTTTTATAATACATCAGAATTTAGTTATTATTTACATGAAAATGTATTTATTATTTTTTTTTCTCCATTTTTGACGTAAATACGAAGAAAATAATGGCGTAAATTGGATTGGGTCCTAAATTAACCAGGGTTTTAATATGAATAGTCTTTAGTAGAACCGTCGTTATTGGAGGCTTTCCTGTATTATTCAGTTGTGGTAGTGTTGTTGAAAAATTGATTTTTCATTTTAAGTTTGGTACAAAATTGAGTTATTATCCCTTGTTTATAAAAAAAAAATAAATGTATATTAAAAAACATTCCAAGTTAAGATTAAGAAGATTTTAATTAATAGAAAAGAAAACAAAAGATAAGATGACAAAATACTGGAGTACCGGTTTGGGTAAATGTAAAATCAAATGTGAATAAGATGACAATTTGAACCTTTATCCGCAATAACAAAAATAGGTTCAATCACTGATTACTGTAACACTCAAACAAAACGAACCACTAGGTCTTCAATTAACATTCAACATTTTATACTTCCTTAAGGGTATTGTATTATTTCTTGGACAATTGAGATGGTCATTTTACACCCTTGCTAATAGCACAGATATTAATACATTAATTATAACAACATGTTATTTCTGAATGAACAACATGAAACATGTAACAGATCTCAGTTGGGAGTACACATTGATGGCTAACTCACAGCACATAACAAATTTTTATACTGGCAATGCAGTGATATCCCCGTTAGCCGGAACAACTGGTGCAGAGCACTTCCGGGAATGAGAGATTTCCGGGTAACGAGAAGACTCTCAAAGACGGAAAAAATCCCTCATCCCCGGAATTTTCCAGGTAACGGAAAATTTTTCTCGGAAGTTCCAGAAATTGCCAATTACATCATCTCTCGAACCCGGTAAAATATCCCTCATCCCCGGAATTTTCCGGGTAATGGGAAATTTTTCTTGGAATTTCCAGATAATGTGTCTGATTTTCGTCTCTCAAACCTAGGAAAAAAAAACTTGTCCATCCCTGGAATTTTTCGGGTATTGGGAAAATGATTATCTAAATTTTCCAGAAAATGCCGGCTTTGGGAACGATTTTCCGAGTAAATTTCAATTCTGGCTATCGGAGAGTTCCAAGTTTGATGGATTCCGGTTAACGTAGATATTACTGTATTTATGGTTTCCATGCTCAACCTGGGACAATTATATTTCTGCTAATTATCCCCAATCATGCACAACAACATTACTTTGCACATATAACCAAGATTAGTACACCAGGCTCACATAACCAAGATTAGTACACCAGGCTCACATAACCAGGATTAGTACACCAGGCTCACATAACCAAGATTAGTACACCAGGTTCACATAACCAAGATTAGTCCACCAGGCTCACATAACCAAGATTAGTACACCTGGTTCACATAACCAAGATTAGTACACCAGGCTCATATTGCTGGTGTTTACCACAACAAACAAGTGAAGCACTCTTAGCGTCGATTGGATTTCAGCGCACGGCTAGAGAGCTCATCCTCCTGGGTGTAGTTCCCAGGGCACGTTACTCTCTGAACTTAACCTCGCTGAATTAAAGACGTCTTACGAGAAGGCAGCTACCGCTTCCCGGTAGCTGCGGGTATTCGGCTACAACACACCGTGCCCGAGATACGATGAGGGAGCATCAAAAAGTGTTGTCTAAAAGTCTAAACTCAATTACACACGCTCATACGCTTGGCAAGGGTTATCGACACAGACACTGTTCAAGTTACGTTAATTTTTACTTGGCACATGAGAATTTCACTGTCAAAACATGAACATTGATATTCACAAGATTCAAACGAGTTAAATTCACTTAATATGGTGGGCATGAGGCACTTGTTACATACCTGAGATACGATGAGGGAGCGTCAAAAAGTGATGCTCTCCCTTGAGCACGCAGATAGTATATACTAGGCTAAGTGGCACTAAGGCACCTTAAAGGTGGCACCTTCACATAATATTCTTTTAAATCAGTTACTGAACACATTGGCTCATGAAATCTGGTTATGAGCGCATATTAATATTCTAAGATTAACTTTTTAAACTAATCAATGCCCGAGCTCTCAAAGGCAAGAATTAAGCTGATGTCAAGTTCTCAGATTGGCAGTACATTGTGGGTGGAGCTTATAACAGAGAGGTACAGAGTTCTCGCCGTTAGATCTTAGAGATAAGAAGACTGACATTTCCCTTCAGGATATTAATTATTTTTCAAAATATGAAACTGACCAAAATTTCAGTACAAACATCAGATTCTCTGATGATTGAGAAACAAAATTATCTAATTTCAGTAACAATTTGGAGACTTCGGGCAATATCATGATATGTCACGTTTACTGGCAGATTGTACAGTAACTCATTTGACAGTTTTACTAACAGTAAATATAGTTGAAGTTTTCAACATCACTCACAAGGGATCTTGAATGTTTCATCTGTAATCAGACATATCTATTTCAATGGAACAGGTGTGTTCTCTCTTAATTTCAAGTCTCTGAACACGATATGAGGTTTTAAGAAATATCAGTCTCTGAGGTACGTGAGAGAAAACAGAGGACTAGGGCGTACTGAAGCGGTGTGAAAACGAACGTATTAATTGGGGGACTCAATAAAGAAGTCACAGCTACACTTTTTATGGGCTATTGAGCTTAATATGAATCGTCTGATTTAACGTTAACTAACATGTACGACTGTGGTCAGTACATTACGGGATGTGACCATTCACTAAGCTGGAGCTCGGTGAACATTACAACAATGGCAGGTTGAGTATCGGTACCAGTAATGCAAAAAGGATCGCAAAATAATTGCAAATTTAAAATGCTTTACAGATATTGATATTATCTGCATGTAATTATTAGCTTTAGTCACTTCTAAACTTCTTGAGCACAAAACCCAGGAAGTTTCAGTACATTCACATCCTGCTTTGATCATAAGATACATCAGGAACTGTTGGGAAACATTGAGCTGTATAAGATTGCTATACAATAGTGTATAATATTAGTTATGTGTGCTTTCAGGGACTAGTGGACCTAGTGGTGAGAATATGGCAGATGCAGTTGTGGACAAGATATTGTTTGAAACTCAAGAACAATTGAATCATCTCCAAGAACAGCATGCTTCTCTCCAGGAGAAACTTTCTGAAACAACTTATAACAGGGACCAATTACTTGCTCAGGTATGAGGGAAGCTGAAAATGTAAGTTAAGTTGAGTGTTAGTAAGAAATTGCCAAAAGAAAGAATTATTATAGACAGCTATGGGAGGAACAAGTGTCAAAGGAGAAATTGCAACTTTATTAACCAAAAGATTTGCTCAACTTTTAGGAAAAAAAGTATAAATTATTCTATCCTTTCTAAAGTGCAGTTCTACAGTTTGGACAAAGGAATGGCTTGGTTAATAGATTTGCCAATAGCACTCTTCTGATCTCTCCCTGCACTTTTTATTTGTTGAATAATAATAATAATAATAGATGGTAATATACTTCTCAACAAAGCCAATTCTTTTTCAGAATTTTTTCTTAAATTTAACAAACAAAAATGTAAAAGAGATCAAAAAGAAAAATGGTCAAATTGAACATAACTACTACAGTACACTATGTCAGTGACACTTATTTGATAAATTATTCTTATGAAATTCTTATTTTTTGTTTACTCCACAATCAGTAGGGTTATATGCCTCAAGAAAAGGAAAGCCATTAGTTACTTTTTAAATATCTCCATCAAGTCCAAATTCTTTAGGAAAATGGCCAATTGATTGTATATTTAATGTGCTGTGAAGGACAGAGATTGGATCACAAAGGATTGTTCACACTCAGCTCTAGGTTCAGCAAAGCAATACAAGTCATTACCAATATGCTGGACCATATTTTATCTAATTATTAATGGTGACAACAGATTGACCAAGTACTGTAGTTTGGTTTACAAAACTTAACAATGTGAAGATCATCAAGCCCAGGTCAAATTCAGTTCTAGCTTTCAAAGAGTCATTACTGTTGAATTAGATATGGAGTAGCGAGATTTCTTGGTGCAAGTGAGGCTTTATTATGCTCTTTAGGACCAACTGGAGCTTCTTCAGTAGATAGTTTGGAAAGCTAGCCTACAGTGAATTACAGTAATTGACCTGTGATACAACCAATGCTTGTTGTTTGCATGCACACACACACACACACACACACACACATATTATATCATTATGTCTAAATCAAATGTAAGTCTGTATATTTTCAGCCACCGGCTGCAACTCTATTAATAAACCGTTTATTATTATTATTATTATTATTACAATTACACACACACACACACACACACACACACACACACACACACACACACACACACACACACATATACTACTACTACTACTTTTTTTTTTTAAATGTGGCCTCCAGCCTCCCCCAATAGCCACATTCCTTCGCCACCATTTATTTACCTTAATATTAAATATCCTAATACATAAGAAGCTATCCTATCTGTGTTAAATTAGTTGAGCCGCAGATCTATGCGCATTCACTGACTGTAGCCTCATAGTCAATATCTGCAGCAGTTGTCGGAGGGCAGAAGCTCGCCTCTGAGGCAGAGCAAAGCCGATCAAGGAGAGAGAGAAAGACAGTCACATCTCATCCAGGCTGTAACATAACTTGGGCTGCTGCTTCTGTTCGGAGATCAACTCATGGCGAGTCTGGCGAGAAACATCTTGCACTTGGGCCCATCCCACCAGAGGTTGTGAACACTAGAGGAGTGAAGCTGCCTTGATCAACGTTTTGAATTCTCTCCCCATATGCCCTTCTCTTGTCGTTCTCGTTCCTCCTATGTGCAGCATCGAGAGCTAGGTTACGATGACATGCGGCCATGGGATAAAAAATCCTGATGTCGAAGAAAGTTCGCTGTCCCCGCGTCCAGAATCCTCGAGCACTGACGTCCACGCGGGCTTCGTTAGATGTGTTTGAAGTCCTGTGTTGGAAGATCTCGCCATCCAATGGAAGGAGGGTCGGTTCTACCATGACGTCCCGGCAGATTTCCTTCAACATATTTGCTGTGAGATCCCTTACCTCGTCATGCCTCATGCATATGAAGCCCCCCTTCTTGCAGACCATGGCGTGATCGCCATCATAGGATGAGCCACACACGCATTGGGAGGGCAAACCTTCTACTGGCCAACCGTACCTTAGAGCAATGGCATCTGTAAATTCTTGTTTATTAAGACTGAAACCATTTGCCCTTATCGGTAACGTAGTTAACCAGTTCGAGGCGCCCACCTCCTGCGCTATAGCTCCTTTTTTTTCAAATTTTCTGGAACCTGCAGCAATCGTTGCTGCAACTTTTCATTTTGGCAGTGCTGTCGATCTGTCGTAATGGACCTATGAATCTTATTTACTTCGCTGGTATCCACTTCCCCTGTTGCATTCTACTACTACTACTACTACTACTTTGCTGTCACTCGGAATCGAGTATGACGATCATCCAGCTGTCATACAATGATAAGAGTTATTAGGGATGTCACCTAGATTAGTGAGTTTTGAGGTGACTAAAGAGACCGATACGGGACCCGCAGCATCGTTCACATTCGTTGCACTGTGGAGGGCTCCATCTACTGCGGGAGGGGAGATGGCAGCGTCTTTACGGCGTTGGCGAGTGTCTGCCTTGGTTTGCAGTCGGGCTAATTCAGAAGTATTGACACCGTCACATGTGGTGCTCCTCCAAGCATTACGATGTGGAGTAATCGACTCCCTGGTGGGGGGGTCGATTTGGCACACCAGACTGGGTGCCATTATGCAGGACACTGCCGTTCATGCCATGAAGGTTTAATAAGGTGGAGGCGGCATCCGCTCAGAAAAGTGGGGTCATTCTGAGCTGCCGGGGGCCAATTGTGGTTGGCAAAAGAGGCAAAGTCGCAACCCTGTCCCGCCAGTAAACAGTCACCAGCTCACAGGTGCATATGTTTCTCTTTGTGCATATAACATATACATTAAACATAAAAAATGCCAGTATCGTGTGCTGCTGCTTATGGATGTACTGCTAGTTTTGACAAGGAAATTTAGTTCAACAGTGTTTAACTAAGCTTCATTCAGTAGGTGTTTCTGTTATATCCCGAACTTTTGACAGAGTAGCATCAAATCTGTCTATGATTAAGCACTTTGGTTGCAGTCTCGAGCATAACAGTCTAAAATCATCTTTTCCACACCCAGTGACACAGCAGCCAATTTATGTATTTCTTGATCCTTGTCACATGTTAAAGCTTGTGAGAAATTCTTTCGGAGATAAGAAAGCCTTCATTGATGGTCCATGGTAAGTTTATGAAATGGAAGTACATTGAACAGTTGCACAACCTCCAAGAACACGAAGGACTTCGTTTAGGCAATAAACTGAGAATTGCACACATTGCATGGATAAAGAAAAGAATGAATGTCAAATTAGCTGCACAGCTACTTAGTGAATCAGTTGCAAAGTCTTTGACGTTTTGTCTTGATGAAAAAATAAGTGAATTTGAGGGCTGTGAAGCTACTATTGATTTCATTATGGTTTTTAATACATTTTGACATAATGAACTCAAGGAATTTGTATGCCAGTAGCTACAAATGTCCAATAAAAAAGAATGCTGATGAAATCATAAGAGTTTCTGAGAAAAGCAGAAACATATATCAGATCTTTAAAACTCCATGATGGTCAAGAGCAACTGAAGTCCAATAGTAAAACTGGTTTTCTTGGTTTCATATTTTGCCTACGGAGTTTACAGAGCTTATATGAAAATTTGGTGGCATGTCCTAATCCTGTTTTAAGCTTTTTGTTGACATACAAAATGAGTCAGGATCATATTTAATTGTTTTTTGGAAAAATTAGAAACATAGGAGGATGTAATAGCAACCCCACAGTTAGGCAGTTTTCTGCTGCTTACAAAAAGATCATGGTACATAATGACATGAATGATATAGTGCGTGGCAACTGTTTACCACTAGAAACTGTAACAATACTAACTGTGCCGAGCAGTTGTGCAAATAATGTTAGGGTAGACACTCTCTGTGAATGCTATTAATACCTCTGTTTTGAAACACAGAGTTATGGATAATGTGTTGTCTGGGTCATCTTTAGCTAATGAGGAGGAGCATGATTATACTTATGTTCCTAGCAGTTTCCATTTGTCCCAATGTTCCAACAAAATTGTTGCATATATAGCTGGCTTCGTTGTGTTTTGGTTAAAGAAATTTACACTGTAAAGCTTGTGTTGACACCTAACAAGTACTAATGTTGGCCAGATGCATTCTCTGATTCTGGTAAAGTCCTTCAGATAATGTTATAGTTTTTTTTTTTTTTCAAAACAATTAGCCCACCCGGGCACAGGTCGAACGACCATGTCATGCAAACAAAATACAGATCTAACTTTAGGAAGAGTAGATTTTCACAGACTTGTTCATTCAGTGTTATCAAGTTTACACTAACAAAGAAGTATTTCCTAAACTATCTCACCACATGTTTCATACAGAACCTATGGAAAATCACATACATTTATTGATTAAAGCATTTACCAAAAGCTATTTGCAAGTAAGATATGCATATGCTGCAAAACAGTGCACTGCTAAGTTACAAACTTAGGTTAAGGTAAAGAGTCATCAGATATACACAGAGCTCATTCATTTCAGTGGCCAGTAGGATTATGTACAATACATATAGACATCGTATTGACACGTTTATTGTATTATTTGCATATATTTTTGTGAATAATAAAGGTTAATGAATTTTCTCACTTGTTTACACATTGGCAAATGTATATATGAATGAACAGTAGGACAATAATTCATGTAGACTAGCAGTACACACGTCGCTGACTGGTGAGGTGTGGAAGCTGGCAGCGGGCTCTTGCCAACCACACTTTGGCGGCAGCACGGCTGGCTGTCTTCACTTCCGACAGCGCTATACAGTACACTGCTCAATCTGCCTCCACTCTATTATACTTCCATGGTTCATGCCATCATAGATTTGCCTCACAATGGTGATGAATTTTGGTGGGCAACCAAAACAATTGGGGGGGGGGTCTATCAAAGGGCTTCCCTGTCATCTGAGTCAAAGGCCTTAGTAAGGTCGATGAAGGCCAAGTACAAGTCAATCCACTGTTCTCTGGACTTTTCCTGTTGCCAGCGGGTGGCAAAGATCATGTCAATGGCGCTTCGTGATGGTCTAAATTCACATTAAGATTTTGGGAGGAAGTTTTCTGCATCAGGAAGGAGTCTGTTTAGGAGGACCTGAGCGATAATCTTGCTAACTACGTACAGCATTGAGATCCCTTGGTAATTACCGCAGTCTGATTAATCTCCCTTGTTCTTATAGATATTGATGAATGATACCGGCGGCATCTTCAAGATCTTGAGGGAGATCCGTATAATGTATTCTCCAGGAGAGAGTGGAGAAGGCTGATCAGTAGGGGTCCTCATACTTTATATATCTCAGTTGGGATTCCATCAGGTCTTGTGGCTTTGTTATTTTTCAGTTACTTGATGGCAGTAGCTACCTCATCACGTGATGGAGGATAGTCAAGGTGGGCCAGCTGCGGGTGCTGAGGGACCTGCTGGGTAATCAGGACATCCACATCGGAGTTTCAATTGAGCAAGGAATGGTAGTGCTGTTTCTAGTGCTGAAGAATGCCGTCTTTATCTTTAATTAGGGAGTTACTGTTGAATGAGTGTAAGAGGGGCTCGTGCCATGAGTGGTTGGCCATAGAATGTTTGAGTGGAATTGAAAAATTTGCACTTCTGGTGTTGATTTGCAAATTTTTGCATTTTACGTGCTTTTTTAGTCCTCCATTCATTCTTCATTTCTCAAAGTTTTTGCTGGGCCTTGCATTGCACTGGTGATGAGGACATCTTGGCAATATCTTTCTGACAATGATTTAGTCAGTCAGGTGCTATTTTTAGGGCACCCTTTCTATCCCCCTCCCTATGTGGGGCAAGCAGAGTGGCTCCTGTAAAGGGCTGCTCAGTTGCACAGACGACTGAATTGTACTTCTGTCTAAGTGATGGGGTCGATTTGGCACTTTTTCAGGTTTGTCTTAACGACTGGGGAGAGGAAGAGTTTTAATAGACTGCTGATAGCCCAGTTTGATGGGTTTCGCCTTAGTAGCCTGTCCATCATGCATTGCCTTCATCCTCCGGTGTAGTCATTGGGTTCCCATGTTGGTCACCTCTTCCACCTATACTGCCGTTGGCATCTTGTTGGAGCTCTGTAAGCATGTCTGCTTGAGGTCCACTGCTGCTTTTAGATCCCCTGCTCGTCTAGCCTGGGCCCATTAAGCACCCAGTTACTGTGTGTTGCCACAAGGAGGCACAGCAGGAGTCTTGATGGTGAAGAGGCTGTGTATTGGCAGGCGAAGACTTGTGCAAGTTGCTTCCATGTTCACCACGAGGGCTAGCCAGCAGCGGTAGCTGAAAGCGAGAAGGAGCAAGCAGTCCCTGCACCTTAATACTAATATAATGCTGCCACACTAGATGCATTACACTACCCTGTGTGCATATGTAAACACACACTCTCTCTCACCCCCATCATATATAGGTCCATGCTTTTACTTTATTGTGACTTTCTGGCAGATGTCAGAACTATACCCTTTCTATGCTAACCTGGCCCATAAGCCCAGCCCCTCGTGTATAGCTACAAATAGCTGATTGGTTCCCCTGAGCGTTTTACCTCCCCCAGGACTGGGCATATATAAGTGTGTATTTATATTGACCTTTCATGATAAATATTTAAAATTTTCTAACATCCTCTCCGAAGCGATAATGCTTTGAAATCATGTGCATTTTGATTGTACAGATATTTAACATTATTTTAGATAATAACAGGTCTCCTTACCACTTGTGAACACATTTAGTTTGAATTTTCTGTGAACCAATCCGCTATTTGTATAGAAGAGGGGCGTGGCTTATGAGTCAGGTTAGCTAAAAGATACAGTATGCAGATTTTATTTTTTATTTTATTTTATTTATTTATTTTTTTTATAAATAATTTTTTTTTTAATACCTTTGATGTGTGTGTTGGGTTTTAAACAGCTTATTTTCTAGGGACACTGCAAGTCCAATAGTTCATGTAAATTGAACTGTGTTAAACAAAGACCGTCTACGAAGGTGTTTTTATCTTCTATCTGATATTATTTTCAGGTGGAGTGTCTTATCACAGAAAATGAAAGTACAGTTTCTGAGCTGGGAGAAGCACGAGAAACTTATGAGCAACTCTATTCTACTCATGCAAAAGTTTGTGAGGAGCAAAAGAACAATTTACAGCTTCTTCAAGAGGCTCAGGTGAAGAACCAGATGGCGGAGGTGGAACAAAAGAAATTGGAGGTAGTCATTTATATTTTTTTATTATAATTTTTGCAATTTTTATTATGTGAGGTATGGACTCATAGACATGTAAAGAAAATAATAAATTCATACATTATTAGTTTACAACCATGAGAATTCAGAACTCAGAAATCTGGCTCCTTGAATTACCTAGAAAATTTAATCAAGATTGATACAATTTCGGTCTTCTGGAATATGCCTCTCCAATGTAAATAGAGAAGTTATTGTACTTTTTTTTGTACGAGAGAGAGAGAGACTGCAGTTGGCAATGTGATGGGGAATGAGGAGTGTTTTGTGCAAGTGGTTATGGCATTGAATGAAGGCTCAGTGGTGATGGTGAATTAGTGTGGTGGTAGTGAATGTGAGATACACCTATTTGCATGAATATTAAAGCCTTTCCTTGTTTAAAATGTGTTTGGTTGTGTGGCCAGTGAGGAGATAGGGAATTTGAGTTTTGGCCCACAATCTAAGAGGACCCCATCATCTCCTTTGGCTTCTTCTCCCATATACAAATACAGTACTTTTGAATTGTGAATGTGCTTTACCAATCTTTCACTTCCCAACCTTTGAATTTGAGTATATCACCTCAGTAAATGTTGGTCAGCTATCTGATTAGCACTTATTAAATATCAATACAGTACTGTAATAACTTGTAAAAACAGAGTTTGATGTTTCTCGTGGAGTAAATTCCAGTTTGGCATTTTTGGTGATGTGTGTAACTGAAGAACCCCCCCCCCCCTCCATAAAAAAAAAATATATATATATATAATTAAACTCTTAATTATTTACTTCTATTTACAGGCAGAAGCACATGAGACCAGTGTTACTGTATGGAACATGAAAGCTGAACTAACTAAGTTTGAGGCTCAGCTGTCTGAATGCTCTGCTCAATTGAAGGATCTTGAGGAACAGCTTCATTCCTCACAATCTCAAGAACAAGTTACCCGTGCTGCCTTGGAAAAAGAGTCCAAAGAAAGACTTTCCCTAAAGGAAGAGTTCTCAACAACAGTGTCAAAAATGAATGGGGACTTTCAGCAGAAAATTACATCTCTGACAGAAGAACACAACCAGAAAGTGAGTCTAAATGTAAATTCACTAATTAGAATTTTCATATGGCAATGTTTTGAAAACAAAAAAACATGAATCGGAGGCTTTCTCACTCTAATGTTAGTTTAACTTCAGAAGATGAATTTGTTTATTCGTATTTTAGCTTTTTGGTACAGTACTTAGAGTATATTTAATAGATCATTAATACAGTAAAGCCTCCGATAATGACGATTCTACTAAACTAATCATATTTAAGACCCTGGTTAATTTAGGACCCAATTCAATTTACGCCATTATTTTCTTCGTATTTACGACAAAATTAGAAAAAAATATAAATAAAATTTTCATATAAATAATAACTAAATCTCGATATGTACTATTAAAAAAAACATGCCTTGCGCATGGAGGCTGCCGGGCGCGTTAGTGGTGACGCCAGCATCACTTGTACAGTATCAACAGCTGGCGGGTCTTTTGTTTTCACGCATCTGAACAGGAAAAGGGGTAAAACCTTCTCAGGTTTGTTACAGCATTTTTGCATCCCTATTCAACATGATCAAGATAGCAAGTGATGGTAGTGATGGTTCAAAAGCTCTTTGAAAGTACATAAGCTTAGCTGAAAAACTAGATGTGTTAAAACTATATGAAAAGGGTGAGAGGTCTGTCAATATTATAGGGAGCAAGTAATGAATATATTTTCTGAAGTGGATCCATTAACAGAACGAAGCATTAAAATTAACAGGGACATGAAAAACACAAACAACCTCTACATAAAGATGTAAAATGAGAAAAGAAAGCAGCTGTGCAAGGTTCTTTCGACAGCTTTATTATTCGAAGGCCTAAACCACCATCTTAGCTACACCATCAAATTCAGTATCATAAGCAACTTCAACAACAACTTCAGGTTCAGTAACAGTTTCAGCAACAGCTTTATGAAAAGCTACAGCTTCAGCCAGAGTTGAACCTGATGACTTCATCATCTGAGTAAAAACTCACACAACATCATTGGCTGTCCTTATGTTTTAGACTTTACCACTATTGGGGAGTAGAATTTTTGTTTTACATTTGTAAGTATTATTTAAAACATATACGAACAGTAAATAAGTGTTGCTTTCTTAATCTTATGTAGAGAAATGACGATATGTTTTTACGTGTGTGCATTTACTTACGCTGGCGTTCCCAATCGTCTCAATTTATTTCTTTACCATTAGTGGTTAGCTACCTCTATTGTTCCATTTATTAACATTAAATAACATTACTTAAAACATACATACTGGTATTAATTTTTTTTCTTCATTAAGTTCACTACAGCTATAACCAGGGTCTTATTTTCTTCAGTTTCTTATGTAGAACCATCGTCACTCACGAAAACAATCCCGTCTTGTCTCCTCTTGTGTGTTTTAATATTCTACGTATTATTAATGAATTGCATTGTTCATTTCACATATATAAACATTAATTCAATCATGCATATTTGCTAATAAACAATAATGAATTTTTTTTTACATATTCTTATGATAAATGACTATGTTTCCTTCAGTGCATATGTATACTTTGGCATTCCACTATCAGTCTCACTTTTTTTCTTTAATATTAGTGGTTACTTCTACTGTACATTAAATAACATTAATTAAAACATACATATTTTTTGCATTAATTTTACTCCAACAACAACCAGGGTCTTATTTTCTTCAGTTTCATATGGATACCTGACATTATGGGTGTAAACTGACAACAATGCCATCTCTTTTCATCTTGTGTGTTTTAATATTCTACGTATCATCAAAGGTGGGCACGCGCAACTTTTTTTTTTTGCGCCTCGACCACAACTGCTGAAATAGTTGCTCTGCAACCGCAAATCCGCAACCAATTTCATAAAGTTTTGCCGCAACCGCAACGCGCTACTTAAAAAAAAAAATACTAATATAAAAAAACTGCCTATTTACAAGTAAAACAAAATATAATTGATAAAAAAAAGTTAATATCAATATTTTATTGCAAAATTAAAAAAAAAAAATGCCTCACTGCCACTGGCCTCAGTCTCAGTGGACTGGCTGTCAACAGTCTCAGTCACTTCAATTTCCATGTCCATGTCCTGGTTGGCAGGATCACTGCTGCCGGCCACAGACTCCTTCTCCTTCCTCCTCGTCACAAAACGATCCATAATACTAGCAATAACAAGAAACAAAACAACAAGAAATTGATGCCTTAACTGCAGTGCTACTGACTTCCTGACTGGTTATGATATGAATCATTCCTCCCTCGCTGTAGTTGCCAGATTTCATCTTTCACATTAACTCTAGTTTCTAGAGTTTATGTGAAAGGTGAAATCTGGCAACTACAGCGAGGGAAGGGGAGTGAGGGAGCAACGGAGGAGGGGGGGGCGGCGAGGGTCTCATCTGGTTTACAGTTCAGAAATATGCTGCCTGACCTGTATCATGTGTATGCTGAATCATTCCGTCAGAAACAGAAATTTTTGTGATGCTCGGCTCTAGGGATGCCCGTTTGTTTATGTGGTCGTATTCTAACTTTCAATTTTTGCCAAAAAAATTGCACGTTGCGCTTGAAAATGCTTGCAAAAGCTTTGCCGCAACCAGTTCCGCAACTCTCTGGAAAAATTTGCGGCGCAACTGCCCACCTTTGCGTATCATTAATGCATTGTATTGTTCATTTTGCATATATAATAGATTAATTCAATCAAATATATATTCAGTAATGAATCTTTTGTATATATTCTTAAGATAAATGATGCTGTTTCCTTAAATGCGCATGTATATTTTGGCGTTCCCAATCCATCTCACTTTTTTTTCTTTGCCATTAGTGGTTAGCTACTTCTATTGTTCCATTTATTAGCATTAAATAACATTGCTTAAAACAACAATATTAATTTCTTGACATTAATTGTACTACAGGGTCTTATTTTCTTCATTTTCTTTTGTAGAACCATATTCCCGGACTCCCGGCTGTAAACACTAACGAAAACAATGGCGTCCCATCTCTTGTGTGACCATATTATTATTAAATTATATCGTATAAGATGCATTTATGAACATTATTTAAAGACTATAGTTTGCATTTTTCATTAATTATAGTGTTTTGGGGGAAAAGAGGGTAAAAAGCCACACAAAAGATATAAAAAGGTCGCACTTGGGAACGCATCTCATTATTATTGCTTTATTATAATGGTAATTAATGATTCACGATACAATGATTCACCTTACACTGCAATATTGGAGGATACATTACTGTTGTTATTTGAGGCTTTACTATAGTTCTTTCTGAATTTTCAGGTTGAGGAGTTAAATAGGGAGAAGAGTACACTGTTGAGTGAAAAAGAAAAATTAAATTGTGAGAAGACGTCATTGGAGCTTGAAATCCAAAACCTCATTCTGAGTCATAAGGGAGCTGAACTGCAGATGGTTGAAGACTCAGAAACAATGGTTAATGAGAAAGCTGCTTTAAACATGCAACTGGAAATAAAGTCCGAAGCCTTGTGTGCCTTGCAGCAAGAGATGGATAATAAACAAAAAGTGATGAATGAAGAACAAAGTAATTTAGAGAAGGAAGTTCAAATGAAGAACTCAGAATATTTAAAGCTACAAAATGAAATGGAAGCTTACATTGAACAGGCTACTGCAGAGAAGGCAACTTTAAATGAAGAGATGTATACCAAAGAAAAAGCATATTCATCTATTCAGCAGAGATTAGAAATTACTGCTAAGAGCTTAGTAGATTTAAAGGCAAGCTTTGATGAGAAATTAAAAGTGAAGGATGAAGCACTCTTAACTGTTCAGCAAGAAAAGGAAAACAAATCAGAGATTCTTTCCAAGGAAATATCATCACTGAAAGATATAATTAAAACCAATGAAATAGATTTTTCTAGAAAAATAGAAGAAATGGATAAAACTATTAAACATTTAAATGAAACTAAAGCAGAAATGAGCAAGGAACTTCAGTTACAGGAAGACTCTATTGCTACTCAAAAGCAAGAAATGGAAGATGACTTAATAAAGTTTGCTGATGAAAAGAAGGAACTAAATGCAGTAATTATACAGAAAGAGAGTGCTTACAGTTTATTACAGCAAAAACTGCAAGAAGCTGGAAACAACTTTATGCAGGAAAAGAATGCCTTGATGAATGAAATTCAGACAAAGGAAGGATATTTCTCAGAGATAAAGAAGGAATTTGAGATGACCATTGAATTACATGCCCAAGAAAAACTCAGGTTGGATGAGGCAATAAAAACTAAGGAAGAAGAATTAGCTTCTTCTCAAAAGTTGAAGGAGACTACTGCTGCACAACAGGATATGAGAGGAACACTGGAAATACTTTCCAAGGAAAAGTTAATCTTAACTAAGAACATCAAGGAAAAAGAAGAGGCTCTCAATTCTTTGCAGCTAAAGTATTTGGAAGCTGAGTTTAAATTTTCCAGTGAAAAGGCAACCTTCTGTCAAGACCTATCTGCTAAGGAATTAACTATAAACAGCCTGCAAAAGGAAATTGAGAAAATAAAAAATGAACATGCCACTTCTGTTAAACTGATGAATGAAGAACTAGAGCAGACCAGATCATCATTTGAAGGTCAACAGAATGCTAATAATGATATGAAGGGGGAAATTGAGGCTCTAAAAGGAGAAATTTCTAGTAAAGTTGCAGAGCATAATAATATACTAGCCGAAACCCGTAATGAGATATCATCAAATATTCACCACCTCAGTACCTTGATCTCAGAGAAGGATGGTATGATTAAGAGTTTAGAGGAAGAAAAAGAAGAAAGTATACAAATATATAAGAACAAAATACAGGAACTAGATATGAAACTTGGTGAGAAATGCAAACATTTAAACTTGGTTGAACAGGAGAACTTGGATATTAAGATAAATAGGGAAAAAAAGGAAGCACTGTTGAGAGAAGATCTTAATAACATTAAGTTGGAGCTGGAGCTTCTCCAGAAGGAGAAAGAGGAGCAAGTTCATACTACTGAGAAAATTATTGTGGAGTTGAAGACTTCTCTTAAGGATAAAATGGATATTATTACTACCATGAAGGAAGAGAATGAGCAAAACTTGCTCAGCCACAAGACTCAGATAAATGAAATGGAAGCAAAAATTGCAGATCTTCAGTCTATAATATCAGTAAAAGAAGAAACCTTCAGAAACAAGATTTCTTTGCTGAAAGGACATGTAAGTACTGTATAGAACATTTTAGTGTTTTCCACATTTTAAGTTCAGATGTCAAAAGTTTTAAATTTCCTTGCAATAAACTTCCTTCCAAGTTAAGAGCAGATAGATGTTTACACAATTTTGTCAAACATACCATATTTTATGACATATGACACTTTTTTGTCAGAAAAATGGCTTTTAAAAATTAGCCTGCATCCTATATGTGAAGTTGCAGTCTCCCCCAAGCGAATGAAATTTGCCTGTTGCTGTCTCCAGTAGGCTAAATTCTACTAACCCAACTCCAGAATTAAAAATAGGTCATTGCTTAATGAAACATTATTATTTTTAATTAATTAAAAAATTATTGTAAATAAAACAGTTCAGTCTATAACTACTTTGTACTGTACTGAAGATGATAACCTGAGACAATTAACATCCATACGGCAGTCACCCAACTCTTCAGGGGTAGCTAAGCAATAACCATTTCTGAACTCTTACACGCATTACAATTTATTAATGCCATACCTGCAGCATTTATTGTTCAATCTACAAATACCTGAAACAAATGAAGATTTACAGATAACTTTCTTCTCACAAATACATCTGTTAACATCGCTGGTGGCATTGTAGCCATGTTAGCCTAGTCACTGTAACCACCAGGCTACTGGGCCAAGCTGTTGTTTTTCAACTTGTATTTTCGGGTAGATATGCAGTACATAACTCTCTTCATTTATTTTTACTGATATACCTGTACATGCACACACCATCCTACATACATATTGTGAAAAAAGTAAAAGAAATAATTTTCCTAAGGGCAAACACATAAAGTAATGAACATTTCTTTGCACACGAGTCAGCTGGAGTCAGCTGGCTTAGTGGACGGCCAAGTTACTAGGGAATCGGCGGAGGTAGTGTCGCCGTTGTTATGGTGAACAGAGTACAGATGTACATGCAAATGGCGACTGTGTTAAACTTTCATTTTGCTTTTATTTACTGGTTTGGCAATGCAGTATTTTTTGTTGTAAATTAATTATTGGTATTATTTTTATTTATTCCTTACATTTAATGGTACAGTAAATCCTTGCTTAACATCGTGGTTACATTTTTGAAAATCACAACGTTAACGGAATAAATTTTCCCCATAAGGTATAGATAAAATGCGCTAGTTATATTCCCCAGCCTCCCTTTGCCCCATAAAATACATTTCATATACAGGTACATAAATTCAATGGAATTTTTATAGAAAATAGTATATATTATGCAGCCAAAAGGATAAACTTAATCAGGGGGTTCTTAATCGGGGGTGCGAGACCGGTTTCATAGGGGTACGAGGATGCTGAGATCAAACATGGTTCCTTTTAGGGGAGTGGCGTAAAAAAGTGAGCATAAAATTGGTGTTTTATGTTATGAACTTGTCATTGTTACTAATTTAAAATGTACTAAATTGTATTTATATTGCTCAGTGTTTGTATTAATGTACAGTGGTCCCTCGGTTAACGAGCACAATTCGTTCCAGTAGGTTGCTCGTTAACTGAAAAATTCGTTAACCGAAACCATTGTTTCAATGGGTTTTTGGGTAATTGGTTCCAGCTCACCGAAAATTGCCTAAAGTCAACAAAAAAGGTAGTAAAGTACACTTACTTTGAGGTGTGTATGTAGAAGGCTCTTGAATGATGAAGATGATGATGGTAATTAGAATGGGGGTGGAGGAGAAGGGAGAAGAGAAGGGATTGGGGTGGAAGAGAAGTCACCCCATGGCGCCATTTCACCCATAAAATTTTAGTTCACTTGGTGTAATTCAAGATTATTTTCTTTAAATCAACACTGCACTGCATTATATATTGTCAATATGTAAAATAAATTTCAAATTGACCAATAATTTGCTTGGAAACACAGAAAAAAGTGTTTATGTTGAAGAGAATCTGAAGCAAGATGTTACCCCCACTGAAAAGACAGAGACTGACGCCTGTATGGTGTGTTGACAGGCTGTTTGTCGCGCAAAAAAATTGCTTCCTATGGTTCAATTATGTTCAATAATTGTTAAAATGACTAAAAAAATTAATATAAAACTTTTAAAATTATTGAATAGTACAAACTTCTTGATATTTACTAAAATAGTAAGGAAGATGTGCACGGAGCTGCTAGGGAGTGATTTTTCTCTTAATTTCCCTACACGGTGAGCATTAAACTGGGAAGGTGCAATCACATAGTGAAAGAAGGTGGTAAAGAATTGAAATTGTTAAAGGAAGAATTGTCAAGAGATCATATATTGATTGATGTCTGTGTTGTATGGGTAAAGCCTTGGTGGAGTTTTGATCTAAATCAGTTCAGAAACAGGTACTGTACTGTATTTTGTTTACATTGTTCAGTAGTGTTATTTTTATTTTATGCACTCTTTTTATAGATGGCAAATGTGGAAGCAGATAATGTTCAGAATGAATCAAAGGTAGTGGAGGTGACTGCTGTGGTGAATAAAATGGAACAAGAGCATACAGTTACACTTGACCATCTGAAGATGGAGGCAGAGCAGCAGCAGGTCAAGTTTGATGCTGATGTCTTGCTGCTTAAGGAGAGGGTAGGTATTATATAATTTTGTCTTAGATTTATTTCAATGTGGTGTCTATAGAAAAGGCTTTTAGATTGGAAAATTTTATCTTAGAGTGAAAAATATTTTCCTTGCTCTTTTAAACGGGATTGTTGGCATAATTATCGATATGGCATGTGGTCATCAGGTGAGCGAATATTACAACTAATACAGGTATCCCTCATTTAGGATGATTTCCGTTTAGGACTTATTTTAGGGCACACGTCTATTTAAGGTGGTACAAAAAAAATTAAGGGCTGTTTCTTGACAGACCCTTCTGCCTGCCTAATCTGCACTTGGATGAGGTATGTTTGAATAATTAGATGCATCCCATCCCATTACATGATAATGATAAGCCTGATTTCCATGTGACTGCCTCCCATAATCTATCATTCTGTGCTAATGCTTATGTGTATTGTACGGTACCAGTCTTTGGTTCTTGGAAAGTAAACTGGTCAGTTTTTCAGTACATGTTGTACAGTGGGTCTCCGCTGTATGTTGTACTGTACTGATATACGTCATATCACTTGCAGTATATGTCGCTAACAAATATAGGAAGATTTTTTCATTACAGTAAACCCCCAATATAAGGGACACCGTCTATAATGGACCTCGGCTTTAATGGACACTCTGACCTGTTTGGGTTAGGTTCATATATATTACCGACTCGGGTCCATTATAGTAAAAAAAAAATATGGATTGGGCCCATTTGTATTCAAATTATCACAAATTATTACAGTAATACTGTACCCTGTTTAGCCCTACCCTGCATAATGCTAATTAGTTATAGAGCTCTGGTCATCCCTGGAGTTATTTTTTCCAAAGAAAAAGAAAAGATGTAAATCCATAATACAAGGCTGAAGTTACTAAACAGAACACTTGGGACTTGCCAACAGCAGCCATGCTTGTTTACAGTCTCTCTACCAATGAGAGTGACATACCCATGTATGCTTGCAGCCAATCAGCGCTCTCCTCCTTAAAAAAAAAAATCCACGTAGCATTCAACTTAATTGACACACTCACTCTTTATATGACTGATTTTTGCATACAGGTACACCACCAATTTTCCAGGAACTGATGCTCTAGCACCTCATTTAGTCAGGACAAAATTACGAGAGGGCACTTGAAATTCCCGCAACTGCCAGACTAGTTTACTGGGTGGCTGCAGATAGCATTGCGTGTAGCGCATGCTCACTTAATTATTTATACTGCAGTTGTTGGTGGTGATCCCTCGATTTTGTGCGATTCTTAACTTATTTTGCTTATATTTAACCCTGGGTATGGCTTCTAAGAAAGGTGCAAGTGTCTGTGGTGGTGTCAACCATAAACACCAGTCCATATTGATACAAGAAAAGGTAGAACTGTTGAAAAAACTGGACCGTGTTGTTTCCGTGCAGAAGCTGTGTGATACTATGGTATTGGTTCGTCAACTGTTTGTGGGAATATTTCATTCACTCTAGTAAAGATACAATATTTCTTATTATGTTATCGTAGGTAAATGCATGGTTTATGCAATATGTTTATCACTTTTCAAATTAGAATGCAAGATATGGAGCGGTCAATATTACGCATAATTTTCCCCCACCACTTACAACCATGTACTGTACAGCGACATTGTTTATTCTGTTAACCTGCAGGCTGCCACGCCATCGTTCCAGTTTGAATGCATTCATATCCTGTAAACACCATTTGGTGATGGTGAAGGATGAGTGTTGCTGGTGATTATGGTGAGTGTTGTTGGTAGTGAGTGGTGGCAGCGAGTGTTAGTGGTGGTGGTATATAATGGACCAAGCTCATTATTATTCTGGATCTGGATATAATGGACTTCAGCTTTAATGGACCAGCTTTCCACCTACCTAATTAGTCTGTTTTATCGGGGATTTACTGTATCTGTAAATTTTTCACTTACACTTCATCTGCATCTTCCACTGTGTGTACCCGAATATGATGCATTTATATCTGACACATTTATCAGTGCTATAAAAAGTTATTGAAAATGTAAATGCTATGTATAGCACATGGTTAGAAAGCACAGGGATCCAAGATTATGCTGTGACAAAACACAGTTTATTTCTTATAAATTACATCTGACAAATGGGCCCCATTAGAATTGTTGCATTCTCAACTAATACCAAGCTGGTTTAAATATAACAGATGATTGATGCCTAATTAAGATATTTTTGGTCCAGTTAAAGTGATTGAAGTTTGGAGACACAGATAATTGATACATTATCTGTATTACCATGGGAAAGTGCTTTTCATTTAGGTTGCCAATTTTCAGGAAGACTTGAACCATCCTAAATGAGGAATACCTGTAGTTCCTTGATGTATGCATTGTCAGTGAGCCCATTCACAAACTAAAACACTTGGGATACTGGTATTTGTCACAATTTTGGTAGAATACTGTATTGATATTTTAATTTAGCAACTGTACTTAGGAGAATATTAAGGAAAATACTGTATAATGTTAGAAATATATGTATTACAGTAAAACCTTTATTTAATGAACTACTGTACAATATATGGAGAAGAAAGTCTGTTATATCAAGGGCCCAATAGATGTGAGACCTCCATCTAACGGATTATATGGAGAGAGAAGTCCGTTATATGGAGTTTCACTGTACAGTGACCCCTCGGTTAACGAACTCAATCCGTTCCAGAAGGTCGTTCGTTAACCGAAACCATTGTTTCAATGGGTTTTTGGGTAATTGGTTCCAGCTCACCGAAAATTTCCTAAATTCAACAAAAATGGTAGAAAAGTTCACTTACTTTGAGGTGTGTATGTAGAAGGCTCCTGGATGATGATGGGAATTAGAATGGGGGTGGAGGAGAAGGAAGAAGAGAAGGCATTGGGGTGGAAGAGAAGCCACCCCATGGCACCATTTCACCCATAAAATTTTAGTTCTCTTGGTGTATTTCAAGATTATTTTCTTTAAATCAACACTGCACTGCATTATATATTGTCAATATGTAAAATATATTTCAAAATGACCAATAATTTGCTTGGAAACACAAAAAAAGCATTTAGTTGAAGAGAGTCTCAAGCAAGATGTTACCTCCACTGAAAACAGAGAGACTAACGCCTGTCTGGTGTGTTAACAGGCTGGATGGCATGCCAGAAACTAGTTTCTTTACCTTCAATTATGCTCAATAATTGTTAAAATGACTAAAAAAAGTTAATATTAAACTTTTAAAATTATTGAATAGTATAAACTTCTTGATATTTACTAAAATAGTAAGGAATTTAAGCCCTAAAACCGATTACTGTATTGGCGGACTGATACTAAAGCTGGTTGCCCGGCCAGTGCAAGCGAAAACATGTTGAGGTCGGTTTGTAAGAAATTCGTTAACCGAATTTTTGTTCGTTAACCGAATTGAAGATCCTTATGGAAGGCAGTTCGTTAACCGAGGCGTTCGTTAAACGAGGGGTCACTGTAATACAATATTGGTATGAAATAAAGAAAATGCCATATAAACATTACCTGAAATGTTGAAATAATTAGGTTCACTTTTACACTAAACTTTTTTTTTATAGATTATAAAATTTTGTGATTTTGACAAGATTTTTTAAAAATTCCTCTAGTTGTCATCACTCAAAACTGAGAAGATGAAGATTGTCTGTGACTTGGAAGAAAAAAATGATGCGATGAATAGTTTGACTTTGGAATTGAATGGTAAAGTTGAAGCTCTTCAAACTGCAGAAAAAGAAAAAGAAAAAGTTTTAGAAGCACTTGAGCTTGAGAGAGCCTCAATGAATGATGTTATTAAGGCTCAGGAAGATGCTTTAAACACACTACAGCAGCAAGTGGAAAAGACTCTTGAAGCACATATCAAGGAAAAGGCAGTTTTAATGGAAGAAATCAAAGAACGGGGAACTGCATTTGCATCTTTGCAAGAAGAGATGAAAAATCATCTGACAAGATGTGACGAAGAAAAGGCTTCACTTAGCAGGAAGATGCAAGGTAATGAGGAAGTTGTCATAAATCAGCAACAACAGATAGAGACACTCCTTGCACAAGTAAGTGAAGAGAAAGAAGTGAAGGAGAGTGTCTGTACAAATCTGAACAGAGAGCTGCAAGAGAAGGAAGAACTTCTGACTCGGCTTCAGAAGGAAAGAGAAAACTACACTGAAATGCATTTAGCTATGAATGATGCAGTTAAAGAAAAGGAAAGAGATCTCTCATCCTTACAACTAAGGCTGCAAGATATTACTGATGCATTCACATTTGAGAAGGAATCTCTGCTGAAGGAATTAGAGGTTCAAAAAGAAAACTATGTTCCACTGAAGAACAATTTTGAGAAAGAGCAAGAAAAGCTTACTGCTGACATCACTATGCTGACTCTCCAAATTCAAGAGAAAGAAAATGAGAGAAGTAACCTTCAGGAAGAGATTAAGGAAATTCAAGAAAAAAATGCGATAAAGATAAAAACTCTGGAAGGAGATTTAGAGAAAATAACTACATGTCTTGAAGCAGAAAAGAAACTAAATAATGAAAGGGAGAGTGAGCTTATGACTCTGAAAGAAGAAATTGTCCAAAAAAATTCTGAACATAGCAGAGACATGACAGAGACACAGGAGCTGTTCAAAGAGATATCAAGGCTGAATGAATGCATTGCTAAGCGGAAGCAATTGTATGAAACACTCCAAAAACAAATTGACGAGGAAACAGAAAGGAACAAGACTGAAATGTTGAGGCTTCAAGGTGATATTACTGAAAAGGGACAAGTTGTTGAAGCACTTGAACAAGAAATTGTGAAAATGAAGAAAAATCATGAAAATACTGTACAAGAAATGAATAATGATAAAACATCATGTGTGAATTTCTTAAAGGCAGAAATGAGTGAATTACATAAAACCTATATACAGAAAGAAAAAGACTTGTCAGAGGAGTTGAATCACTTAAGAATTACTCTTGATATGATGAAGGAAAAAACAGTGGAACAGAATGAGATCGATGAAGTTACTTTTACCAGTTTAAACGAATGTCTCGCTGAGAAGTCTAATATTATTTGTGCTTTGAAGGAAGATATTGAACAGGTTCGCCTGGAACATGAAACCTTGTTGACACAAATGGAGCAGAGACATGTGAAGCTGCAGAAGAATGACGGTGAGAAGATAGTTGATCTAAATGTCCTGTTAGCTGAGAAGTCAGAGGCTATCAGTACCATGAAGGGAGAATTGGAAGATATTCACTCTCAATATGAAGTCAAAATCAGCAGAATCAATAAGTTAATGGAGGAACAGCAGGCAAAGATGGCGAGTGCACTTTCATCTTTAGAAAATAAGGTTAGTGTTAATTATTAATATGAATTATAATTCAGTAAAGCTTTTGTTTGTCATTGTCTTAAGGGTGAATTGTATGGGTAAATTTTTTTTTATATACCTGAACAGTACATGGTTCTCCACTAGTATTAATTTTATGTCTAGATTTGATATGTGTGGCTTCATATATGAATGCAATCAACTGCTGAGGTCACAGTGACTCATAGTAATGGTAGTGTGAGCAAAATACTTTTTTCACCTTATTTATTTTGCATTTTCTAACCGCATAAGCACTAATTTTTTCTCTTCTATTTCTTCTTTCCATGCCTTTGTCCTGCTTTCCTTCATTTTGTGCTTATTTGCTTTGCTCAGAGCTCACCCTCAGACTTTTCACTCTTTAGCGTGTGTAAAGTCAAAGACAAAAATCATATCCTTGTTCTGTTTGATGATAACGTTGTCACAGTCAAAAGTCCTGTTGCCTCTCATGCCACTTTTGAACCCTGAGATTCAGACTCATGAAATCGATGCAGTAGATACAAATGCATTTTTCTGGCCACAAGTCAAATCTCAGGGTTCATGAAGTGGTGAGAGTGACAAGACTTTTGACTGTGACTCTATATGCTTGTGTTATCTGCTTCCCATGTATGAGAACCATTTCAAGATTCAGAATTCCTGTGTAAATGTTTTGAGCATAGGCATTAGACGTTTGTCACTGTATGGTGTAGAGTTGGTGTGTAATTTGTATGATTAATGAACACTTGATGTGAGCAGGTATTATTCTGTGAGTGAAGGTGCCTAGGATGCAGATAGCTACATGAAACAGTGTCTTTTTTATTGTCTATGTTCCACTTTCTATCAGATTGAAGTGTTGGAGTCGGAGAAGATTGTGATGAGTAGCAAGTTTGAGGAACATGAGAAGACATTTGTGGCCCAGATATCTACTCTAGAGGAGGACTTACAGTCCAAGGAAACTATATGTCAGTCCAGCATACAAGAGGTATTGTAATAAGGACAGGGTTTTACTTGAGATATGAAAAGTAGTGAGCAAAATAGAAGGAAGTGTGAAAATGAAGAAGGTATTAAATAGTGCAGCATATATGACAAAATTCTAGATGGATCATAAGTACAGTATTTGGTAAAGTAATAGAAGAGGGGACTGCGATGATGTGTAAGTGTACTGTGTCTGTACTGTATATCAAAAGTTTAAAAAAATTTTGTATTCTACTGTAAGTACTAATTGAAAAAGGATGTTTAGGAATTGTCAGATTAGTGTATTGTAACATTAAATGCTGTCTAAAAGGAAAATAAATTAGCTATAGATGACAAACAACAGAAGTAAGATGTTGTTGAAATTAATTAAAGTGTAGTTGGATTTCTGAAAGTGTGAAATGACCATGTATGTGCCAATGGATATACAAAACTGTACTGATCATGATATTGACATTAATGTAGTTATCTTTTATATGACTTGCTGGTCCATATATTTTAAGATAAGTATTTTTTTGCAAGCAAAGCATTTAAATACAGTACTGATAAGAAAAAAAACACAGTATAGTCTGGTTTTACGCGGAAGGCCATTTATGCGGCACCTGTCAGAAGAGATAATTATTATTTCCACGGTAAATTCCATCATGTACGCGGCAAGCAGGTACCGGGCGCTGACATCAGATTTGCGCCGGCGACATCGCAGACTGATTGGGCCACGTATCCTTACCACCCACTCACCCCCTCCGCCGCGCGCTGTGATTGGTCAAGGCATCCTTGCCACCCCGCCACCCACGCTCTCTGCTGCTGCGTCAGTCTCACTGTCTCCTCGTATATTCACTCGTGCCCAGGAACCAGTGCTTTTTTTTCTTTCTACACAATGGCTTCTGCTGGACCCCATCATAAAATTAAGATGTTATTTTTACCACAATGTACAGTATTGTGTCGGCGATAGCCAAAAAAAGGTGAGTCTGGCAATCGGCCTAGTCTCTATTTCAATTAATCCCATAGGTTCTGTTATTAACCGCGTAAAACCAGACTACAGTATACTGTAGTAGATTATTATCGTCTTAGGATTAAAAGCCTCAGGGGTTATTGTTACAATGGTTTGTTCCCAAACTAACTCGTGCATACTTCTCTCGCATGTGAAAAAAAAGCGTATTTTGATTAATCTACACACAGTTAACTTCGTAGGCTCGTAGGCTTAATATGGGCACAAGATAGTTAAATAAGATTATATGCGGACATGATCTTGAGTATTAATTGTATCTAGTGACTAGTGTAAATGCAGTATACAAAAAAGAGAGAGCATGAAAATATCAATGCAATAGAAAAGTCATTAATGAAAAAGAATCTATTGTTGAAATTATTTAAAAGTGAATGAATTTTATCAGTTATAAGGTATTTATATATCTAGGAGTTGTAGAGAAAAAGCCGGGTTTTTTTTCTAAAAACCAGTTTTTGTGATAGTCTAGAATGCGATGCCTAGCTTATACCTAGGTATGTTAATGCTTAGCATTAACTCGCCAGGCCAACATACAGGCAATTAAAACATCTAATAATTACTGAGAGTAATAAGAAAACCCAGGGCGGAAGCCCGAAAAGTTTTGTGAACGAACATAAGAGGAGGGGGAGAGATGGCCACATAAATCATTGTATTCATACTAACACATGGGACAAAGAAAATTGTATACTACAGTATATATATATATATATATATATATATATATATATATATATATATATATATATATATATATATATATATATATATATATATATATATATATATATATATATATATATATATATATATATATATATATATATATATATATATATATATATATATATATATATAAACTTTTTATTTATACTTATACTTTTCTCTCTTAATCTTAGAATGCACCAGAAACTTTACTATTTTTAGTAATGCCACAGAATTTGAAATTGCAACCCCAATTGCAACTTGCAATTGTTGAGGCAACTAGATATGTCTGATTACAGCAAATGTGTTATTGTCAATTTGTAGGTGAAAGATTTTATCCTCAATAGATGTCGGTGAACATTTCACCTGTAGGCAAATGCTTAGAAAAGCCTAAGGAAGGAAGCATATTCCTTTAACACATAATATCTGACCAGTAAGGGGAGGATCATCGTGTCTCCATCAGGGGGTCATGGAGTGGTGGTCCAGCAGGTGTCACGTGTTGTTGTTTTTTTGGGGGGGAGGGGGCACGGACGTATATGCGATCGGACGTTGTTCGGTCGGACGTTAACCGTCGAATGACTGCATATATATATTCTTTCAGTGAAGTCGAGCCCGGGAGGGCAAAAAACATTGTCATTCACTAAGTGACTTGAAAGCAGAGGATATTAGTCACTAACGATCTTGCGACTTCATAATAGAAGACGCGCTGTGGTCGTCATGCTGACCAGATCGTATAAGAAATTGTCCCAAACACAATATCTGAGAGACATAAACAAAATAAAAGTCACTCGATTTCCTCACCGTGCTAAGATGTATAAATACCGTATATAAAATCCTCGTGGCACTTAGTATTTCAGCTATTACAACACAAATTAGCGGAGCCTTCTTTGTGTGTATTTACAGCTGATTCACCAGGCAAGAAGATGATGGTGGCAGTGCGTTTGATGGAGGGTGCGGGAGGGGGTTTTGAGACATACAATTAAATGCCAGGTAGCGACATGTCTTAATATTACAAATTTTTAAGTAATTATTAGATGTTTTAATTGCCTGTATGTTGGCCTGGTGAGTTAATGCTAGGCATTAACATACCTAGGTATAATCTAGGCGTTGCATTCTGGATTGAACAAAAAGAATGGTAGTGGACCATAAATATTTAAAATTTTGAAATGCTTCAAAAGCTTAACGGCTTTTGATTACCTTAAAAGGAACAGTACAGTAATTAAGAGGTAACAAAATGAAAAGTTGAGATACAGATCAATATGACATCTAAATACATTTATCCATCAGTCTTAGATATTATTGTTATTGCTGTTGGGACTGAAAATTTTTCATAATATACACTGCAAATTTAAGTGAGCAAATGAAATTTAAATGACATAAGTGATAAGAGTAAGAATGGGGAGATGGTAGAAATGTATACGGTACAGTAGAACTTTGGTTATCCGGTATCCATGCAACCGACAGATTCAACTAACCAGCACCTTTGTATGTGCAATTGAATTGAGGTAGTTCTAATATTAATTCATTCATTCTGTGATTAAGTAATGTTGGTTGGGAGATATACTTCATTATGTATTTATCCTTTATCTTTTATGATTCTTTTCAGTTGAAGACAGCTCAGGAAGAAATTAAGAAGTATAAAGTTCGTATTCAAACTCTAGAAGCCAAGCTTATTGACAATGAACAGCAGATCTCTGCTGCAAAGGTTAGTCATCACTTATCACTCAGGTAATTATCCCTATTTTAATCCTATTAATAGAGTGAAACAGATACAACAAGGTTCATAAAAAATATATATACCTATATAATCAACGACCACACCAGTCAGGACTCGAACCCTAGACCTTATGCGTATGACCAGGGAACGCTACCGACCATGCCACAAGGACATGTGTTCAAGTCCGCTTGTTATATGGACTAAAATGAAATATATACGTATACAGTATATATATATTTTTTTTCATTAATTCTTGTTGTGATATAAAATTAAATTAAACCTTTGCATTAAGTCATTTTGATAGTGTTTGTGATCAAAGTACCAGGATGAAGTTTTAAGTCATTGCTCTAATGATGATAGTTTGCAGTATTATTGTTAATATTTTGAATAGTTTTGGTAATGCCATAAATGTGTTTTTTTGCTGTGATGTGTAAAGTAATTTTTATTTGCAGGAGGAGACCATGCGAGTGGAACGTGAGTCTGAGAAATCAACAAGAAGTCTGTCAGAAGAGGTGAAGGCTATCAAGGAAAAGGCTAGAAGTGAGAAGAAGGCTGTTGCTGATAGGATGGTAAGAATCTTACTTTAACACCTTCATTTAATAATTTACAGATTGTAATTATGTACGAAAAAAGAATAATTGGCTATTATTTTATATCTCAAATAATTGCTTCTATCTAACAATATTTCTTGTTTACCTAATATTCATAATCTAACTACTTTTTATGCACTTGTGTTTCACTGTCTAACTATGGTTTGTTACAAACTTCTTATGGTTATGTGTAATCATTATCTTAGAATACTTTTTATCATTGTATGTTTCATTATCTTAAAATACTTTGTGTTTACCTATTTCAGTATCTAACATAACTCTTTATGCACATGTGTTTCATAATCTAAATATATTTTTTATGCTCCCGTAAAGAAAATGTCATACAGGACAGAAGTGGAGAAACTTATGATTCAGATTGAAGAAAAAGAACAAGAGGGCAAAGAAAAGGAGAAGATCCTTCAGAAGTATGAAGTAGCCAAGAAGAAACTGGCAGAGGTACTCACCAATCTTAATGAAACAAAAACTACAAATGAACACTATGAAAAGCAGGTAAAGTAGAGCGGCGACCTAACTGATGAAGCATAATTTTTAAGTGAACGTTTTATCAAGCGGGAACTAGGGGAGGGTTAGAGAATCATATCACAAATTTCCCAATGATGGTAAATGGTCTCTGCCCTTGGTCACAGTTAACAATACTTCAGTTTGCCTCTTGTAGACCCTCTTACACAGCATAACTTTTCAAGCATCTAGTTTCCTTTTATGTCTTTTCAGTATCTTCTCTACTTCATCTTCATTTATTTTGTATGTCGAGGTTTCCTTATCTATGATCTAATAGATCAAGAGAAGGTTGTGTTGGTTCAGAAAAAAAATTCACTACAGCACGACAGTGAGGTAGAACAATAAAACTGGTCCTGCTCCTTACCATATACCTTGAAAGGCTATTTCTACACCATTGTCATATATATATATATATATATATATATATATATATATATATATATATATATATATATATATATATATATATATATATATATATATATATATATATATATATATATATATATATATATATATATATATATATATATATATATATATATATATATATATATATATATACTGTACCTGTATATATATTTTTTTATCTTACAGATGGCTAAATATAAGGAGCATGTGAAGAAGCTAGAAGGTAACCTTCAGAAAGAGTTGTTTAGGCAGAATGAAATGAAGACTCGAATTACTGAGTTAGACGGTAGAAACCAACCTCTTGAAGAGAAACTTCACGAATATGAAAATACCATAAAACGTTTTGGTAATGAGAAGAGGTCATTAGAGGTTCAACTTCATCATGCTGAAGCACAGATGAAAGAAATGAAGAAGCAGTTTGAGCGAGACACCTTTAATGTGAGTTGATATTGTACTGTAGTTTGTTTTATGCAGTATACAGGCAGTCCCTAGGTTATGTATGAGTTCTGTTCCTACATACTGTACTTACAGAGCAATGTTTAAAATCCCACTATATCATAGCCTAAGTCCTCATATACATCTAAAGTCACATAATTTAGGAGAAAAGAAGAAATAGAATGACAAAATACAGTAAATGCAAATAAAAAACAAGTCATCTGGTAAAGGTAGTAGGCAGCTATCAAACTCACCCAAGCAGTTGATTAAGTGCAAAAACTACTTGTATTGAAAAAAAGTTCCTAAATAGCCAAGCGACATACAGTAAGTGCAAAACTATGGATAACTAGACGATGTATAGCATTAACCTACCCTATATGAAATTCACTTAGTTATCAGAGGTAGATTATTTAATATGTAGTAAATGGGAATTGGCTCCAGTCCTCCATTATTCTGTATTTTGCTTAAGCCAAAAATTAACAAAATTCTGCTATGATAAACAATAAAAATGATACATGCTACATCATAAAATAAAATAGCATACATTTTATTTATGGTACAAAAAAATATCTCTTTTTCACTCTCAAACACCCCCTGGCTGACACAGAGAGTTGGATTGTGGGCCACAGGATGACAGCTCAGTCAGGCAGTTAAGACATTGAAAAGTTTTAAGGGATTAACACTACAGTAGTAACTTCCTTCTGAATTCACTAGTTGTGCTCCTGTTACTTTTGCAGTTGTACCAGTGTCCATTGTGAATCACTTCACTTACCATGGATCAGCGAATTTAGCAAGATATAGTAACGAGTTCTTATGGGACTATATTGTGGGTGGGTAGTGTAACTAATTCATGACTTCAGCTCAGTGTATGATAGTTAAAGGTTAAACATGGATTTAACACCAAGGACTCGTGGCTGTAATTCATGAGTTTCCTAGTTGCAGGTTCAACAGTGAAATGAGCTTTCAAGGTTGATCTTTAATTTTTCTTCAAGTTATTTTTCCTTTCCTTAATCTGGATGAATCTTGCAACTTTATTTTTTTAAATATTCAAAGAACTGCATGTATTTAGCATAATTCTTTCTACCATGTTTTATTTTCATTTGTACTTTACATGTCACAGGAAGGAAATCTGTTAGCTTCCACTTTCACAAGAGGTAGATGTTCAACAGTATCAGATTCCCAGATTAGTGAAATCCGTATGACAAGAACTTCTGCATCCTCTGCTGAAAGTGATTGGGATGTAAATGATTCCCAACAACAACTGCTTCAAAAAAAACCCTCAAAGGAAACATTCAAGAAAATTCCCCGAGCTACATCAGCAGAGACAGTTAGTAACTGTTTTTTATTGATCAGTGTTTTAAATTGCTACTTGCTACTGCTTCATATATCACTTCAGTGAGATTTTTTTAGTACAGTATTAGAGAATTCTGTTACTTTGCATTAGGTATGCATTTAAAACATACTATAACTTTTTTTCCACATTGGACATGTGGTTACAGTACTTGAAGGTCTCAGTTTGCTATCTTTTTAGATTGAATTCTGGATGTCTATACTTTTTGACCAACTGGATTTGTCAACATCATGTAAAATAGCTGTTGAGTACAGGTACTAGACCATTTATCTATCTTCCAGGAAACCGGATTTAGCAGAAAAACTTTTGTTTTTTAAACTTGGTTAGTTTTATGACTGGGGGGTTTGGCTGGCCACATTGCTTTCCTATTGGTAATGCCACAGTGGTGCACACCTCACTTTTAAACAGCAGACATCTGTATGTAATTGCCTCTACTTTTTGTGGTTATTTACCCCAATTTGTTATCATTATCTATAAACGCATCTAAAAGGATAGCAGGAAGTTACTTGCTAATGGAAAGTAAATTTTTTTTTCCGCTCTAACAACAGTGCATCCCGAATGTGTTAATTTGTTTGTCATGAAGGGTGATTCTCCCCATTCTCTCTCACCAGGATTTTTATAAGTGGTTTGTGACAGTCTACTACTACCTAACTACCCAGTAGTGTATCTGAAATTGACATATGAATAGTGTGAAGAGCATCTTATTTCGTGTAAAGTAACCATAATAAGTAATAATAGAACTTTCCATAACACATGTCCCAAGTTTGTTGGATAGTTGGTCCGGTACCTGTAGTATAACTGAATTACAAGAATTTAATCCTATTTTAACTACACTGTTTATGCTAATTACTTTTCACATTGCACAGTGGTTATAATTTTTATAATTTGTTTAATTAACCTATTAAGCATTATGACCTGCAAATGCAATTTTTTAGTACTATCTTTAGAGTACTAATGTGTGGGATCAAAACAGGTGACAAGGAAACCATGCACTCGAACCTCAGGTGCAGAAAATAAACAGAGGTGTGAAAATCAAGCACGTCAAAATGCAGCTGCAACTGAGAAGAAAGTTTTACAACAGCCAGAGACTAGCATTTCAGGCAAATCATTTGGACGCTCTGTACCAAGAGATATGCTCTTTAACTGTGAAGATGAAGAGATGATGTTCAGCAACAAATACCTCCTTGATATGCAGGTAAAATTTTATATATTCTATTACTGTATTATGTTTTATAATTTTGCCAAAATTCATTAGTGCCTCATGCTTACCAGTTGGTGTTATCATCATCATCATCATTTTATGGCCATTTTCCGCACTTGCATGGGTTAGCTGCAGTTACCTGATGGCAACTCTCCATGCTGCACTGTCTCTTGCAGTCTATCTTGTCAGGTTCCTAACTCTAACATTATTTCTTACAAACTTTCCCTTTGTCATTCTTGGCCAAACCCTGGCTCTCCTCCCCTCCACTTTTAGGCTCATGCACCTCTTGACCCAATTGGTCTCATTCATTCTATCCACATGCCCAAACCATCTCAATCTGCCTCTACACAGGACTTTGTCAATACTCTCACTACTGGTACCCGTCACCCTCTTAGCTCTGAACAGGGCCTTACCATTCTCATTCTGCTCACTCAAGTCACCTTATGTCATCCTCTGTAGCTGCCCATATTTCACTGCCATACAACATCACACTTCTCACACCAGTAGCATACATTCTTCTTTTCACTCAGAGAGAGGGTCCTCTTGCCTTCGATAAAGGCAGCAACTCTCTTAACTTCCTCCAGCTATTTCTGACTCTTGCAGCTAAGCAGGCTTCAGCACCCCCACCGGTAATGATCATGTCATCCAGGTAACAGAATTCATTGATGCAGTCCTAGGACATATCCCCATTGTTCAGTTTCTCCAGCTCTGTTGTGGGCAGATGATTACATTCACATACAGAACACTTAAAGTCAGCAACTTCCTGAAGTCTACCATCTACTCCACTGAACTTCTTGTGTACCCACCTTCCACACTTATTGCACATTAGTGAGTACTACCAACATTTTTCTTGCAGACAGCACTTGGCCATTTTCCACTTTCCACCATGAGTTCCTCCCCCACACCACTAATCAATACTTTTGTTTTTGCCACATTTGCACTCAAGCCCTCTGCCTCTATTCCATCCTTCCATTTCTTAAATTTCTCCACTGCCTCTTCAATACTATTTGCTCTCAGCATATAACAACTTCTAGGGCAGGCCAATCTTAAAGTATTGTGATATTGTGTCCAATACCATGATAAATAGAAGGGGCTCAAGACAGGCCCCTGGTGGACTTTTACTTCGAATTACTTGCTTTCCTCCCCATTTACTTTCACAGAGGTTTTTGAGCCCTCATGACACTTCTCGACTCGGAGTTTTCTCGTTGCCCATTTTACAACTTCACATGGAACTCTGTAAAATGTCTCATATAAGTCTACAAATACAGATATTTCTATTGTAGCTGCCTGGCTTTAAATATTGCCTCTGTAGTCCCCCTGCCTGGCATAAACACATACTGTATTTCGTTTATGTTACTCTCACTTTTCAATTTTTCAGTCGCTCTTTCTATATCTTTCATTACCTGGTCTAGCAGCTTCAGGCCCCTATAATTCCAGTTTTACAATTATTCACAATCACTTTTCCTCCAGTTATCTGGAACATTACTGTACATTCCATCATTATTGCAGTAGTCAATTCAATCATCATTGACACACCTACATCGCTTGATGCTTTCAGCATTTCTGCAACTATCCCAGAGCTTCCAGCTGTCCTTCCATTCATAATTTTGTCAATTGCTCTCTCCAACCATTCACTTTCAATCCTTGGGCAGGGTCCCTGTACTTTTTCTACCACCCCTAGGCTGCCCCTATCCCATTCATACTCCTCATTCAGTAATTGATCATGGTATTTTCTCCAAGTGTCCTTGATTTCCTCATTATCAATAACCAATTTCCTTTGGTCATTTCATGTGTGGGATTTGATCATATAGTAAACTCCCTCTAACCCTGACTTGCTTAATCCGGATTCCCTTACAAACCAACAGTGAACACCTATATCCCCATCCCAGAAAAACACAACCAAAATGTGGTTAGTATGGAGGAAAGTTTGTTTAAAGTGGTGGGGGGGGGTAGACTCATGAGCTGCCTCTGAGGAGGTGGTAGAGGTGGTCGCTGAGGAATGCTAAAATTGAGTGTCGAAGAAATATAAATAGTGTACGGTGCAGTCAATGAAATTAGCAGTGAAAACAACCAGTGTTACTAACAGTCATTCTCCTCTCCTTCCATGAAGGACTATATACTATACATACACCTCTACCCACTAGCCTGCAGTAGGCATACACTATGCATGCTGCTATGTACAGTGCTTTCTCACTTATTGAATGTACAGTGCTTTCTCACTTATTGAATGTACAGTGCTTTCTCACTTACTGAATGTACAGTGCACATAACTGTAATCACTTTTTATGTCTTAACATTGCTTTAACACTGTATTCTTGGCTGATTGTGTCTGGTACAATAATGTACCTCACAAATTGTATGCAAAAACAGCATCGAGTAAGGGAACAACTCTGTACAATGGCTACAGTATATGAACTAAGTGCACAAGTCTACAGCCTAAGTTACTCAAGCACCACACACCCAGCACATGGGAATGTGTCGGCACATGGTGCAATCCCTCGGAACTCACAGAAAATTTGTTCCATTGCCCAGAATGGAGAGATTGTATCAGAATTTTTTCAGAAAGTGCACATGATTTCATCCTCGACAACTTGTTCCCTTGCTCAAAATAGAGAGTTTTCCAGGAAGGCTCAAAATTCATTCCGGCTATTAGAGAGTTCCGGGAACCGGAGAGTCTGGCTAACGGGGGGATTGCTGTATCTCCATGTTGCTTGGTCAGTTTTTGAGAGAAATGGCCTTTTTGGACTTGACATATAGCATAATATTTTTTATCTGAATATTTATTTCACTATATCTGAGCTGTCTTTAGGACTCTCATAAGTACTTTCTAACCCTTTTAAAAACATGTGCAACTGACATTCAGTGGTCCCTCGGTTAACGAGCACAATCCATTCTAGAAGGTTGCTCATTAACCGAAACCATTGTTTCAATGGGTTTTTGGGTAATTGGTTCCAGCTCACCGAAAATTGCCTAAATTCAACAAAAAAGGTAGAAAAGTGCACTTACTTTGAGGTGTGTATGTAGAAGGCTCCTGGATGATGATGATGATGATGATGATGGGAGAAGGGAGAAGAGAAGGCATTGGAGTGGAAGAGAAGTCACCCCATGGTGCCATTTCACCCATAAAATTTTAGTTCTCTTGGTGTAATTCAAGATTATTTTCTTTAAATCAGCACTGCACTGCATTATATATTGTCAATATGTAAAATAAATTTCAAAATGACCAATAATTTGCTTGGGAACACAAAAAAAGCATTTAGTTGAAGAGAGTCTCAAGCAAGATGTTACCTCCACTGAAAAGACAGAGAGACTGACGCCTGTTTGGTGTGTTGGCAGGCTGGATGGCACGCATAAAACTAGTTTCCTTACCTTCACTTATGTTCAATAATTGTTAAAATTACTAAAAAAAAATTAAAATTAAACTTTTAAAATTATTGAATTGTATAAACTTCTTGATATTTACTAAAATGGTAAGGAATATAAGCCCTAGAACCGATTACTGTATTGGCGGTCTAATACTACAGCTGGTGGACCGCCAAATGCAAGCGAAAACATGTTGAGGTCGGCTCGTAAGAAACTCATTAATCGAGGGATTGCTCGTTAACCGAAGTTAAGAATCTTATGGAAGGTAACTCGTTAACCGAGGGACCACTGTATCAAGTATACTGTACTTACCCTGAAGAAATTGTGGGAGGCCTCTGGCAGAATACTCCAGAAGATATCAGAAAAGGATGGGGTCCATAATGTAATGATTAAAAAACATTAATTCCCTTTTTTGGAAACTGAATATTGTGCAATAACTAATAGATACAGTACTGTAGTTGAGAAATTAGTCTGTTTTTATTAATTTCTCCAAATGAAAATCCTGAATTGAGGACAGTGATTGAAGTGTTTTGAGGAAAAGGAAACTTACCTCAATCACAAACTGAATTTGGTATTCACCTTCTCAGATATTAGGATATACAGTCAGTCCTCAACTTACGACGGGGTTAGGGACCGACGACCAGGTTGTAAGTCGAATTGATCGTAAGTCGAAAATGCGAAAATATTATATAGAAAATCTAAAATGGGTGTCTATTTTTCTTCTCAGCACCACGAGAACTCTCACTTTTACGCTTGCCAGCCATTTTAAATGGAATTACAAACAAAAATTTTGTCAGTACACAGCGCGATCACTAACGTCGGGACTCGAAAATACGTAATTTGAAAAATATTTTTTATGACTGCGGCGGTCGTATGTCCGGGTGGTCGCAAGTCGAGGAGTACCTGTACATTAATATTTCCATTAGTCAGAATCCCTCAAACCTGAAACTCTCTGATAGCCCGAATTGAAATTTTCTTGGAAAATCGTTCCCAAAGTTGGATTTTGCAAAAATATTCCGGCTTTGGGAATAATTTTCCGGAAAATTACGAGAAAATTTTCCCGATGCCCGGAAAATTTCGGGGACGGGGGAGTTTTTTCCAGGTTTGAGATGAAAATCAGGCGCATTTTCCAGAAATTCAGAAAAAAATTCCGAGGTTGGGGATATTTTTCTAGGTTCGAGAGATGATGTAATAGGCAATTTCTGGAACTTTGAGAAAAAATTTTCCGTTGCCCGGAAAATTCTGGGGATGAGGGACTTTTTTCTGGCTGTGAGGGAGTCATGTCGTTACCTGGAAATCTCTCATTCCTGGAAGTGCTCCGCATCAATTGTTCCGGCTAACGGAGATATTAGTGTAATTCTAACAATTAGGAGAAAAAATTTGTAAAGAAAGCAGAGATTAATAAGTAAGGTCATATGTGACAGCTTCAGCTGTAACTGAAAAGACAAGCCTAGTGGTGGTGGTTGTTCAACCAAAAACAAAATCAAGTGTTCATTAATTAAGGTACTTTTTCATATTCCAGAGGAGTACACTGTGAATGACGAAACATAAAATGAAGATTACTTTACATGCTAAAGAATTTTATGTTAGGTTGGACCATTTGATGAGACAATTGAATCATTGCAATGGAGAATCAATATGTAGACAATACTTTGGTGCTCCAATGTTGATTTTACTATTAACACTGTTTTTCTCAACTTTTTTGTGTATTATTATTACTATTATCCCAAGGAAATGAGAAATTTTTAAGTTGATTTATTAAATCTTGCCCACCATCCTGGGAATCAGAATACTGTACACAGAACTGCAAATGTGCAACAGGAGTGTCTATACCATTGCTGCTTTCTCTGTGTGTGGCCAGCTTATTATCATCATCATCATCATCATCATCATCATCATCATTATTGTTATTGTACTGTATGTTAGATTCACAGTCTCATTGGTAGTGAGTGTAAATGGGCAGTGCCTGGGCCAGAAGAGAGAGACTCGTACCTCTGCCATTCTTTCAGCTTCTAAATACAGTAGTATTATGAATATTGGCATACAGTACAGTATTTCATTTTGGGATGATACTGTTTTTAAGAGTCCACTGTCTGCTAATATTGTCGGTCCTTACCACTTGCAGTAATTGCTAACAGTCCTCATGAAAGGTGTAATTCATTGATTGGAAGTTCACATGTGCTGAACACTTTATTTCCATTGATTTATGTCCACTCAACCTTGGTTACATGGTTACTTGTGATTAGCATTAGCTGTGAGGAAGAAAATATTAGTGAGTGAATGTTGACTTCATACTATATATTATCCTTACTGTAGGAATACAAATATATATATAATATTACTCAAACCTTAAATACCCTAGAACTTTCATAGACAAATGCCTAAACATTACTAAGAAAACTTTTTATAGAACTGATCCCACCCACCCATGACCATAAGAATATCTTAATATTACCATTCACAAAAATTTCTCACATTCCTTCACAACTAAAAACCTGGAACGTCAATGTGGCATTTAAAACTCATGCACTGTTAAACAAATGTTAATCAAGAACTCCCCAACAACACAATTGGTTGCATTTATAAAGTTCCTTGCAAGGAATGTAATATATTTTACTTAGAGCCAGACAGGTAAAGATCTTGCAACTAGAATTAAACAACACAAATACAGTGTTAGGACAGGCCAGGAATCAATGCTCTGTTTGTTCATTTGAGGGATAACAAGCACTGCATTGACTGGGATAATGCCTCTCAATATTACCATGTAATTCAATTGATAGTAGGAACATCATAGAATCTAGTCTTATTAAACATACCAAGCATTCAACATGAATTTGAGTACGGCATGTACAAGCTGGACAGTTTTGTAATTAAGAAGATTTGTGACCAGGTGAGAAGGCGGTCACCTGACATCTGACCTGACCACCAACTGTTGTGTGCTATTTAAAAGATTATTAAGGTCATTACCTAATACCTGACCATTGTAGACCTGGTCTCACCTCCTCTGTATATATACACCTTGATTTATTTCTCTCTCTAGTCTGTACTCACCTAGAATGAATTACAAAAGCTGCGGAACTTCGTGTTTTCCTTCTCTTGTAGTTATCATATATACTAGATCCAACACCTACAGTGATTTACTTGCATATATATATATATATATATATATATATATATATATATATATATATATATATATATATATATATATATATATATATATATCTATATATATATATATATCTATCTATCTATCTATATATCTATCTATCTATCTATCTATCTGCTATCTATCTATCTATATATATATATATATATATATATATATATATATATATATATATATATATATATGAACTTGACTTAAAACTCTGGATTTTTGATAAAAAAAAAAAAAATTTTTTCTTTAAATGACCATTTTCTATACTGAAACGTTTTAATGTATAAATTAGAAAATTATGGGCCCCATGTGCATTCCATGCTACATTAAAAGTAAGTGCTCAGTCACACTGTAACCATTCCTTATATTTATTACTTTCACTGTACTGTATCCATTCCTCATTATTCATTACTTTTACTTTACTGTATTTCATTGTAGATTATTTATTTAAAAAAAAAAAATTTATCTATATATGGGACTGGATTTGGGTCTAAGTAAGTGAGGTCTAGATATATATATATATATATATATATATATATATATATATATATATATATATATATATATATATATATATATATATATATATATATATATATATATATATATATATATATATATATATATATATATATATATATATATATATATATATATATATATATATATATATATATATATATATATATATAAATATATATATATATTAATTTTCTGTAATGTTTTGAATAGCTTGGGAAGTGCAACCCAATGGATGAAGCACAATGGAAGAGAGTATCTGAACTTCAAAGGCGAAATTCTCTTTATCCTCCACATATGCGATCAGCATACCCGGCAGAAATGCAGTCTATACCATTGGAGGGCTTTGCAGATGACAAACTAAGGGTAAGTAGTACTGTACATTATGTGGGAATACTTTTAAGTCTTTTATATATTTCCCATTTCCACAAATTCTTCTTAGTTAGCTCTCTTGGAATGTACTATTTTTAGTGGAACTCATTAGTTTTTCTTTTTCGATTGCATCATATTAGTTCCCATTGAGATTTTAGTTCGTGATTTGACAGTAACATGTACTGTAGTTTTGTTCGTGCCTTCATAAGTAGTCATCTATTTTCTTTTCAAATTCACATATCTCTCATCTTGTGTTGTAGCTCTATATTTGTCTGCAAAATTGCTACTGTATGAAGTTGGTTTTATATTGACATGTTTCCAGTTGAAGTTATGTATTTTGAATTAAATCATGTGCCTAAGATAATTTATTATGATAGCTAGGGACTCCATGAATGGAAATTTTTTAGGGTGCACTTGTAGTACCTCAATAAATTATTTATCTGTCTTAGGGTTCAAGAGAATTGTATCAAGGCTAGATCTGATCCCAGTGTAAAGTTGTTGGACAGGCCTGATTCATACTAATTTGGGCAAATTCTACATAATTCAGCAGAAAAAGACAAATCATCATGAAAAGATTTCTATCACTTAAAGTTTTTTCAGTGAAAATGACTAAAAGATAATTCATTTCTAAATAAATTACAAGGGTTTGTTGGATGAGAGAATCGAGTGCAGTACTTAGTGGATCTAATTGAAAAATGGGAGCAGAATTGGAAAAGAAGCAAGTCACTTTCTTGGGGCTTGACATATCCCCTCCTTAGTCTTAGGATATTAGGCTGATAAACCCACTGTCTTTTATTTACGAATCAAAAAGAAGAAACAAGAGATAAGAAGCCAAGGTGTTGGAATAAGCATGATTTATTATTAATAACGAGGAAAGAGTGACTGAAACGTGTGATTAACAGAACTTGGTTATTTTAGTTGTGTGTGAAACAAGAGAGATGAGCTGGGATAAGTGAAGGAAACAAATTCAGGAATATCTGAAAAGGTATAGGTGTTGTGGTTCTCACCAATGATGAAATGTAGCATTCCTTGGAGGAATGTAAAGAGGTTAGTCGCAGAATATGGATTAAGCTAAAAGTGGGATATCAGAAATGGGTTATTGTCATTACACATACACCAGGGAATAAGAACAGGAGGAGGAAAGGAGAGAGGATTTGGTAAGATCTGAGAGACAGTGTGATAGTAGAGGTGATAGTGATGGAGAATATTGATGTGAGGGTTGGTGAAAGGGAAATTGAGTGGAGTGAGAGGAAATATGGAATGCTAGGGGTGAATGGAAATAATGACTGATGAAAGTGTGTGCTGAGAGAGGCTTGATAGGGTATTCATGATTCAAACAGAATTTCATAAAGTACAATGGAACAGATAAATGTTGGTGGACAGAAACTTTAATGTAGATTCACTAAGGAGGTGTGTCTGGAATATTTTTTGTTATTTAGCAGTAATGAGTGGAAGCTTGAAAATAAAGGAGGTGTGAAGAGGGTTATAAAACCATTGATCTGAGGCAAGAAAATGTAGCCAAAAGATTTAAATGGATGAATGAATAAGAAATAATGGGAACAGTTGGAGAGTAATTTTTGAATGTGTAGCTGAGGTATGATTACAAGAGAATATGCAGTGCTTCGGAAAGAATTATGAATGGATTACCCTTATCCTTATAGAGAGATGAGTCCAATGGTTACATTGAAGAAAGTTCTCTATTAAATTGTAAATTAACATGTTGCTTGTAAAATGGGGAATAAATATCAATACCTTAATACTTTATTGTTTAATGTTGTTAAATATCTGTTTTTGAAATTGTTGCTTAACTGTACAAACTAATGTTATCCTGCCCTCTTAATTTTTAGTTTTGCTTCCCTTAATAATATTGATAATTTTCACAAGAAAATAGAGCCTTTTTCCCCTCTCCTCAGGAAGGGCATGCAGTAAACGACAGGCAGTTGATGACCCTAACACAGGCAACAGAAAATCTAGGTCTGGATTCTCCAGCTTTCAACCTTCGCAAACGAAAGTCTTTATCTGATTCCATACAATCAGAGGCTTCTTTCGATTCTTCAGGGGGAAAGAGGACTAAAAGATTATCTGTAAGATGTAAAAAATTTTATGCCATTATAATTTGACTGTAAATTAGTATAAGATATGCATGATTCAATGAGTGTTAGTGCTTTTTCTCTCTCTCTCTCTCTCTCTCTGTCTGTTTCTCTTTTTTTTTCCACATCAGCTTGATGTGATATTGTCCTTTGTAAAAAAAAAATATTTGAATTGGTTTTACTCTCTTTGTAATTACAGTATTGTATTATAGATTATTTACATGACTTAAATTTTGGATGGTGACTTGCATTGCCATTTAAAAGTATTTTTCTAAAACTTTTTTTTACTGTACTGTACTAACATAAGTTTAATTTTTTTCTGTAATATAGTTGATACTTTTGATGAACATACTAAATGTTTTGGGGTTGTAGCTATTAAGAGGGCATAATGTAATGACACCAGAGTTTTTCAGTGTTTTGTTGAATGTAGTAGTAAAAGAGATGAGAGCATGGATAATGGAGAGAAGCTAATTCAGTAAAAAGTGATACAGGGTGAGACTGAGAAATGACTGAGCACTTCTTTTCAGATGACACTGTTCTGTTGGGCAATTCAGAAGAGTTTTGCAAATATCTGTATTGATAAATGAGTGAAGAATAGTAATGTGATAATAGTAGTTTAAATGGAAGATGTGGAATGTGTCAGATTACAGTATCTTGGAGTGGATGTGTCAGTAAATGGAACAATGATTGGTGAATTGAAACAGAGTAGAGAAGAGAAGGAAATATAATAGGTGCACTATAAAATATATGGAGGGAGAGAGAGAACTGTGTTAAAGGAGGCAAAGTTAGGGAGGTATAGAAGAATCACTGAGTTGACATTACTGTACTGCAAAAATGTAAAATATGTCCTTTAGTTGGAAGACAATGATGAAAACTAAAAGCAGTGGATGTTATATCCAGTGAGCACTACGTGAAATGAAGAGAAAAAGAACTTGAGATCAAGTGGACATGTACAAATGATAGAATTGTTGGATATAGGGTTGACCAGGGTTTGCTCAGGAGGTATGGACATAGAATGAGTAGTGAAAGATTGGTATTGTACAATAAAATTAGTGTATAATTCATAGGTGGATCCTAGATAGGAGATGGAATTTATGGGAAGAAGATTGTAAATAGATGACATACAGTATATTGTACAGGTCGGTGATTTATTTTTTTATTTTTTTATTTTTTATTTGTTTTTATTTTTTTTGGCAATGAATAGGAATTTAAAAGATAATACTGGGCAACTTTAGTAGGTGCACACATGTAGAAGAGAGACAATAGTGAGGAATGAAGGTATAATAGAAAAGAAAAACAAGTTGCCCAAGAGATAATTAAGGGGAGGGAAGGTAGGAAAATATGTTCAGATATACAGTGGTCCCTCGGTTAACGAGCACAATCCGTTCCAGCAGGTTGCTCGTTAACCGAAACCATTGTTTCATTGGGTTTTTGGGTAATTGGTTCCAGCTCACCGAAAATTGCCTAAATTCAACAAAAAAGGTAGAAAAGTACACTTACTTTGAGGTGTGTATGTAGAAGGCTCCTGAATGATGATGATGATGATGCTGGGAATTAGAATGGGGGTGGAGGAGAAGGTAGAAGAGAAGGCATTGGGGTGGAAGAGAAGTTCACCCCATGGCACCATTTCACCCATAAAATTTTAGTTCTCTTGGTGTAATTCAAGATTGTTTTCTTTAAATCAACACTGCACTGCATTATATATTGTCAATATGTAAAATAAATTTCAAAATGACCAATAATTTGCATGGAAACACAGAAAAAAAGCATTTAATTGGAGAGTCTCAAGCAAGATGTTACCTCCACTGAAAACAAAGAGAGACTAACGCCTGTCTGGTGTGTCAACAGGCTGGATGGCATGCCAGAAACTAGTTTCCTTACCTTCAATTATGTTCAATAATTGTTAAAATGACTAAAAAAGTTAATATTAAACTTTTAAAATTATTGAATAGTATAAACTTCTTGATATTTACTAAAATAGTAAGGAATTTAAGCCCTAAAACCGATTACTGTATTGGCAGACTAATACTGCAGCTGGTGGACCGCTAAATGCAAGCGAAAACATGTTGAAGTCGGCTCGTAAAAAACTCATTAACCGAAGTTAAGAATCTTATGGAAGGTAAATCGTTAACCGAAATCTCGTTAACCGAGGGATCACTGTATAAAGGTTTTAAAATAAGAAACACGAGTTAAGAGTGTACTGTAATAGGACTTGAGGCAAGAAGAGGATGGAATACATTTGCCATAATGAGGTTGAAATTACAATGAAGGGAGAAAAGGTCTTAATAATACATGAATTTAAATATTTTGAAATGTTGCACGAGTTAACAACAGGGAAATAATAGTTAAGAATAACTTATAAGGTAATTTGTCATAGGTAGCAGGCAGTAACCTATTTATCATAAGCCTTTTGTGAAAACATTGCCATGGGAGATTCATGTCATGATACTCCTTCCACTCCTTAAATAATTCTTAAAGTATACATTGCCTTTAGTTACCTTTTTCCTGTCTGTTTAGTATACTACATTCCATAGATCTTTTCCATTAACTGGAGTAAGCTAAATCTTGTCTTTTAGTAGACTGCCACACTTCTAAACTTGCATTTTTTTAAGTTTCATCACACAATTTACAGTGCCTCTGTATGTGTTTTGTTTTTACTTCAGTACCCACTCCTTTATCCTCATGAAAAATATTTTCTAGGTGCATTAAACACTGGATTTTCTCAAGCTCAAGTCCTTCCAAGCATCTCTCTGGGTTACTGCACTCTTTTTGCAACTTTTGCCTTCTTTAAATGATATTTGCTTTAGATTTCTCCAATTTACCCACTTTTCCAAATTCCATACAGCATGTTTACTTTACATAACTTTGGGTTTATTTCTTATATTAGCTCTTATATCTCTGCTACTCTAAGCAACATTCCAACCTTCACTTCCTTTCTATTCATTCATAATTTTAATCATCTGTTGGGATTATCCATACCCCGTATTATTATAATCACCTTCAATCATTTCTATCCTTTTTAGATCTTACTCATCTGTCTATGATGGCTAGTAGTAAACATCCACACCTGCAGTTATCCATTTGTTCTTTTCTAATATGATTTCTTTAGCATAATAACCATCAGTATTTCACTTCTCCATCACATAAACAATGGTAGCAACACTACAATCCTTTCATACCACACTTTCTTTAGTAGCCTTTCCCCATTCCATTTAGTTTCAGTGTTTTCCTCAGCCCATCTCTATCATTTGCCATGGGATTTCATTAATCCTGTGATGGTTGCATAGTACAGTATATATCTTTCCTGTTTGTTAACACTTTTCTTACATTAAATTCCTTTAACCACAACTGAGGGATAGAGAATCTGTCAATATTTATCTTGTGTATGTAATCACAAGGTTGTTAATCAACTTTTTCATCAATTTCAGCACAATTTCACAAAACTTGATACAAAATATGTATGTTGATGTGCCAGGATGGTTCTTATATGATAATTTTGATAGAATTACATTCTTGACTACAAGTAGAGGATCTTCTCCCAGTGACCTTTGTCTTTAATCACCATCCTCCCGCATTGCCAAAATCAATCCATACATCAATTTTATTATTATTATTTCTATTAGGTTGAACCAGAAATTAGGTTGTTAAGCTCTTGGAATATGTCTGGGAAATGACAAGAGACTACAGTATACATAAAAAGGTAGAAATTTGTATAAAAGTGCAAGACTGTGTAGAAATGTGTTACTGATAAATGAACTGTATGAGGAAATTGAATGGGTATTTACATTCAAGTACATACAGTAATACAGTACATAAGTTTTAATAAAGTTTTGTCCCATTGAATATAAGTTAAAGTGCAATACCCGGTATGTTTATTTACATTTTCTTAAATTAATCTGGCTTTTCCTTGTTAATTCTAGAAGTCTTGTTACATCTGAATCATCTCATTTTATTAGGATTGGGGGTGTGGTTAACAAATTTTTTTTAATTTTTTTTGCCTATTCAATTAACACTTCCATATGCTTTGCCTCTCATAATCAGAAGTTTATTGCATTATACAGTAGATGTACTGTCATCCTTGACATCTCTACCACAATGCAGTAGTTCATTCATTAAAGGCTTTTCACTCATTCCAAGCTTTGAAAAGTAATCTCTCCATTAGCCGGAATAATTGGTGCAGAGCGTGTCTGGGTACCGAGACAAATTTTCTTATCCCTGGAAAAAATCACATATCTACAGAATTTTTCTTGTCATTGGTGAATTTTACGCATCTGGCTTGGAGCGCCGTTGCTAGGGAGGCTTAACTGCAGTCGGATCCCCTTGCAAACCGAACTGGGGTCCAGCGCCAAACATATGTATCCCCAACTTGGAAAACAACCAAAATCCAGTTAGTACAGGAAAAAGTTCATGTAAGCGGGGGCTGCCACTTTGGTGACACAGGAAAGTAACTCAGCAGCTGCCTCTGAGGAGGCGGTGATAATTGAATACAGCTGCTCCCCGACATACGATGGGGTTCGGGACCCAAATCCAGGTCGTAAGTCGAAATGGTCATAGTAAGTCGAAAATGCTTAAATAATACATAGAAAATCTAAAATGGGTGTCTCTTTTTCTTCTCAGCACCACAAAACTCTCACTTTTAAGCTTGCCAGCCATTTTAAAGTGAATTACAAACGAAAATTTTGTCAGCACACAGTGCAATCACTGACGATGGGACTCGAAAATACGTAATTTGACAAAATTTTGGTACGACTGAGGCGGTCGTTTGTCCGGGTGGTCGTAAGTCGAGTTGGTCGTAAATTGGGGAGTAGCTGTAATTAATAAGTACCGTACTTTATTATTAACATGTGCTTCTATGTTTTTATCAATATAATGTATACCATAAGAAATGCTTTTCTATTTTGGATGATTCTCTTTATCATTCTCCCATTACAATAGGCCACGGTCACAAATGAAAATACTGTATTTATGGCGAGCAAAAAGTGGATAAAATTTTATCCAAAGCATCTGTTCTAATTGTGTTCGAAAGATGAATTTGATACATTAATGATCCCGAATAAATTCGCTACTAGATTATTTCAATAAAAAATCCTTAAACAGAATATTTTGACATAATGATGGGGACTCGATTGTTTTATGAAAAATTTTAAGAAATGTTTCTATAAAAGTCCATAAAAAGATAAGGAGGTGGATAGTGACTGGAGCTTAGAGATAAGGAGGTGGATAGAGACTGGAGCCTGGAGATAAGGAGGTTGACATTGACTGGAACTTGGAGATAAGGAGGTGGACAGTGACTGGAACTTGGAGATAAGGAGGTCAATAGTGACTGGAGCTTGGAGATAAGGAGGTCGATAGTGACTGGAACCTGAACACACAAAGGTAGACAGTGGCAGTATCTTGGAAGTGTGCAAGTAGATAGTGATGGGGAGATTCTAGGTGAGGGTGCTGGGCTGCCCATCCCTCAAACCCTGAGACATGACAAAATGTACTGAAAATAGAATTACACCGTGGTAAGTGGGAAAAGTTTAGAATCTGTTGATTTGAACTTTTCTGAATGGAAATATCAAATTTGAGAGGTGAAAATGGTAAACACAAATAGTATTGTAGGAATTAGGAGAAGTAATAAGTTTAAGAAATAATCACTACAAAAACATTGTGAATTCAGAAAATAAGATAGTTGCATGAAAGTATAAGATGTAGTTAAAACATGTAGAATGTATGATCAATGATATATAAGTGAAAAAAAATGCAATTGAAAGTAAGAGAGGGGTAGATTGCATTAAAGATGGTCTGATTCTATGCTGTAATGTGATTTTATTGTCTAGTTGTATATTAGTAGATTGTACCAAAGGAATGAACAAATAATGTGAAAAGTAGACATGACTTGTCTGTGGAAGTGGAAAAATTGATGGAGAGGGAGACCTTAAGGGAAGTCAACTTGGTGTACAGGTAAATGGTTACAAAATATTCTAACACTACGGAAATTTTAATTTACAATGGAGGGTATATTGTTTCTTAACTTTAATTTTCTTGTATGACTTCAAACAGACATCATATTCCCGGCCTGGACCACCAACGCCAGGACGGAAGGGCATGGGCAGAGTTGACAAGGAAAATCGACGAGAATCCAGTGCTTCAGAATTATCATTGTCAAGCATCACTTGCCGAGGGAGGAAGGTATTAGCACAAGATTTGTATTTGTATAGATTGACTAGTACTGGTGTAAAGAACTAATTTAATGGGGGACCTCCTTCCCTCCTTTCCTTCCTTTGTGTGTGTTTGTTTCTTGTGTATTATACAATCTTGTTGTAGATCTCTTATTACTTGTAGTGAGTAGCAAGGGTGGATCCAGAGTGGTCCTGGGGGTCCGGACCCCCCCTTTTTTTTTTCACCAGAAAATTCTAATACTTTTTCTTTAATGCAGTATTGTACTCAGGCATTTTTGTATAGTAAAAAGTATTTACTATTGACTTCAGAATATCTTGTAATACCAAGTGTGCATGGCCTCAAAATGCCCATGATATTGGTCAGATTTAAAAAAAAAAATCTGGTGGGCTTTACAGTGCCCCCACCCACCGAAAAAAAAATCCCCCAGCCGGGTGGGCGCACTGCGCTCGGCATATTCCCCCATCTACAACTTCTTGGGCCTCCTTTTGATATTCCTGGATCTGCCTCTGAGTAGTCCACATTAAGATTTAATCCTATAAATACCTTTCAGTTCTTGTCAGAATGTGGTCTTTTCTTTATCAATTGATATTTAAAAAATACACTGAATCCTCACTTATTCAATATTGTTGGGGCTCTGGGTTGAATGAATTAACCCAAAATGTCAAACTATCCCAACATATCAAGATTACCACACAAATTTGGATTTTTGTTACAGAGAAATTCATGATATTTATGGGAAGTGCATTCTGATGTTTGATACTGGGAAGCCTATCAAGAGAAAAACAATAACACTGTCCAAAGAATAATGTATACTTTACAGACTCACCTTAATTTCAAATTAGAATGACTATACAAAATATAGAAATAGGTCACTTACCTGTTAATAGTTACCTTGTAGTAAAGAGTCGCACTGTGATGCTGACCCCCCAGTCATGAAATTTTTTTATAATGTACTAGACATACAGTATAGTCTGCATTTACGCGGTCAATTGAACCTGTGGAGGCCCGCGTAAAACGAGAAACACTTAAATGAAATAACAGGGCATATGGGATTAATTGAAATAGAGACTGGGCCGACCCCCAAACTCCACTTTTTCCGACACAATACGTACATTGTAGTAAAATTAACATCTTAATTTTATGATGGTATGCACACATAATTAATAATTAAGAGAAATATCAATAATATTAGGTTTTTTAACACTTACGTTAGCAAAAAAGCTGGGTCGGCACACGTGGATGACGACTGGTTCCGAGGCAAAGGGCAGATTAGTTGCCCTCATGTGAATCACTTTCACTTTCACTACTCGCAGAGGTTTGCAGGGCCTCCCAGACAGCCCCCTCAAAGTCCATATCCTCACTGTCATTATCACTATCACTGACTTGGACTGCTGTGGTTGTGGTGGGTTGTGGGCGAGGAAGTCCTCAATACTACGTTGACGACTAGCATTGATGTTGTCGAGATAGATCTGGATATACGGCTCCATAACCTTCGACAGAAGGTTATTAGACACTTCATACCGATGCTTGTCTGGGTCGTTGTCAAGGACAAGCTTAATTTTCTCCCCCAACTCAATGATTTCCTTCACATTATCATGGCTTGGTCCAGGTAATTCAAGGTTTTTCTCGGGTGGTGGGGGTCCCGCGGAAGCCATTGTGAGGGGAATAGCGGGCACAAGAGAGAACTGTATACTCGGACTGAGAACAATGAGACAGGCCTGGCTAGGTCAGCGACTTCTACCCTCTGATGGCAGGGCACGTCATGTTACATTAGACCAATCACAGTTAGCGGTGGTAAGGATGCGTGGCTCAATCACAGTCCGATACGTCATATGACGTCAGCGATAACGTAAGAGTGGCCTAATGCGCTCCACTCACCGCGCCGCTTCCAGCGTATGGTCACGAATGGACCGCGTGGGTAAAAAATGGCGCAGCGGTCTGGACCTCTCCAGCCGCTCGCCGCGTATATGACCAAATTTACCGCGTAATTAAAACATTTTCATTCTGGCAAGGTACCGTGTAAATGACCAAACGCGTAAACAAAAACCGCGTAAATCCAAACTATACTGTACTTTTATTTTGGTCACATGGTACTGTCACTGATACTGTGTGGGTGCCTGACTGCCTTGTGTTTCATACTGTTTTCACACTGCATGTCATACATTGCAGTGTTTTATTTACAATCATACCTTGCTTATTTTAGACTCATTTCATATTCACCAGTGAATTTTTCGTAATTTTTTCACAAATCCTTAAAGAGCTGAAAATTATACAAAATGGGTGGATTTTTTCCTCTTTTCTTCATAGCAATGCATCTCCCATTATATAATGGAAGTCACATGGGTTATTTTGAGAATTTTGTATTGATTCAATGTTTTTTTCCCAAATTCCAAAATCTCAAGAATTTTACCACAACAAAAAATATACACGTATTGTAGAATTATACCAAAATTTCAAAGTGAATACTGAATCAAATCAGTGAGGATTTAGTGTATGTTGACAAGAGATTATTGTTGATGAATGTGCAATTATCAATGTTTAGTGATTATTCATCTTTAATATGACATATTAGGGAAGTCCACAATCAACATGTTCTGGTGGATCTCCTGTATCCTCCCGAGTGCGACAAGTCAAAGGTGCTCATTCCAGTCGCTCTACCAATTCACCCTCCTCGCGTTCAGTCCGCTCCGCTAGTTCACCTAGTACCAGATCTACTCGTTCACCTGGTAATGTCACAGTGCTCAGCAAAAAAGGAGCAACTCCACGTGCGAGGTTGGGTATGACACCTGCTTCACTACGCAGGATCCTTTCTAAGGGCAAGTCACCTTGGAAGAAACTTAACAATGAACAAGAGGTAAGTGTTTTGTACATTTGTAATATGTTTCCACAAATTTCCTATTTACAGTTAAATACAGTACAAACATGAAATGTTGTATGGATATAGGTGCCTGATGCAATTTGATGAAAACTTTTTTATTTGCATTTTAATTATGCTTAAGAAAACTTATCTTCAGCTTTGTTACTGAATTTTATGTATATATTCTTCATTGCTTATGCCATGCCTGGTGTTCTCTGGTATATGTTATGCACTGCCAGTTGTTTTGTGAGTCTAAAAGCTAGCCTGTGACTTTTATTAATATCTTGCTAGCCATATTTGACAAAGCCAATAGAAACCAGTGGGGAGGAGGTTTAGATTCAAAGATAGGATGAGATGAGTCAGGTGTTGTAAGAAGTGTAAATATAAATGTACTGTTGGAGATATGAGGCTGTGTGGACCAAAACTTTGCAATTGCCATCTGGGCCTCTTTTTTTCTGTCATCCCATTGTCTTCCCACACCTATTGCCTCTCGATTCCAAGGCCGAGGGATCATGAAGCAATAGTTTGTAGTGTTGAAAATCCCGTAAGTTCACGGTGCTTGCATGGGGTGTGCTCATGCTCCTGCTGAGACGCTCCAATGGTAGTGCACGTTGAATGGCCGCTCAGACAATGAGAGGATGAGTTACATGCCTTTTCCGCCAATCAGTAGCCACCTCCCTCCTTCTCCACACAGGAGTGTCAATCTTACCCTCTGCCCAGCAAGAAGTAAACCTGGATTATTAACCAGTGTTTTTTATGCTACACATTTATTGCTGTCTTTGCTTCTCATTCAGTGTACAGCTTAATAATGAGGTTTTAATTGGGTGTTTATTGTGCCTTAATAATCGTGTGTGTGTGCTAGACCATGTCATAGCCCACTCGACAATCACCATGCCACACCCACCACGTGTGCTACCCACAGAGTTATGCATTTGTAGTATTTACACCTATACGTGATCTGTGTGTGTGTGTGTGTGCACATTATTTTGCTTGGAATAATTTTTGTTTGTATTACCATATCTTTATTTCCAACACGTACTTGAATTTTTTGCCCAAATATGCAGTTAAGGTAATTATTATGGTGATCACTATAATCTCCTGGACATTTTCAGTACTGGTTATGATGTACAGTACATAAGTATACTATATCAAAATAATAAATTTTCATCAAAATCTAATGCCTCTAAATTGCTAAGGTTATGATAATTTTAATGACTACCAATAATCATGATAGGATTGTTAAGATCTGATTGTCACAATAATCCTGAGTACGTAAGCTTCAATTTCTTACAAGAATAATTGTGCTATCACAATTAGTTCAAGAGATATACAGGAATACCTTGCTATTTGCAACTCCAATTTTTTGCAAAGAAGAATTGCTGTACAGTACTTTACAGTAATATTTAAAACCGCGCGAGCTAGCTGCAGTTCTCATATTCCGCTATAAGGCCCACTTCGCATTTTTTATTTTATTTTTTCCTCACTCGTGAGTACCTCTGTGGTTTAGAAATTAATTAAGTTCAATGGGATCGTTCACATAGAACACGCGTGGATGATGCTCACACCACGTCTGTACCTGTACTACCAAACCGCAATGTGTGAAAACATGCCTAGCATTTGAAAATTCTTCACATGGCAAAGTACAGTACTTTGACGAGCTAGTTTAAATGTTTACATTCATTTACAAAAGTCGTACATGCACAGACACTCTTACTCACGCAGCACACTCACTCACTCACTCACACACACGCAGTGTTCTTTTTTATTGTTTTTATGGTATTGTAGTTATTTTATTGCTTTATATGGAGTTGTACCTCATCAAAAAATATCTTGCTATAAAATAATAAATATGAAGAGCACGGATGTGTATGTTTGGACTAGGCATGTTGCCAAGTTAGACTGTAGCTACATCCCCTATCTCCCCTCTACCAGGCCAAGGTGTGTTATTATTTTCAACTTGTAATTTTGGGTGGATATACCTTATTTTATTTTTATTTATTTACTGTATTTTTTGCTCTGTTACATGTGCACACAATCATTCATACAGAATGTGCAAAAAATAAAAATAAATAAAAAATATCATAAGGTCAAAAACTTAAAGAGAAGAAACATTTATTTATGTTAGTGTGCAGATTGTGGGACGGAAAGGGGTGTGGCATCAGGGATCTCACCTCCCCCTACCAGACCAAGCTGTGAACTGCATTATTGTCATTTTTGAACTTGTAATTTCAGGTAGATATATTTTTTTCTTTCTCTCTGTGACACGCACACAATCGTTCATACAGAATGTGCAAAAACTAAAATAAGTGGTTATCATAAGGTCTAAAACATGAAGGGAATAAAAAAAAAATTATGTTCACGGAAGTTAGCGTGGATCATGGGAGGAGGAAGGATAATGAGGAGTGTGTTTTGAAAAATATGTGGTGAAAGTTGCCAGCTGGGAATGCATCCCTCTATTTACATTAATTTTTATAGGTAAAATTGCCCCAACAATCACTAATTCATTATTTGCAATGACTTGGGAATGCATCCTGTGTGATAACCAAGGTATTCCTGCACAGGAATATCTCACTATTCGCGATTGATATTTTAATATCCCTATTCGATATTCACAAAGCATACCCATCTTGTTCACAAATGAAAAATTATGATACCCGACAGGGTAATATTTAAAATGAAGTCGGCTACCTGCAGCTTTTATATTCCAACGTAAGGCCTGCTTCACACGAGCATTTTTTCTGCGTGTATAGACCCACGTGGTTTAGAAATTAATGGAGTTCAATGGGACGGACAATGCACAGGAAAATTCACGTGTGGGAGACGCTCACCCAACGCCTGTACCTATACTTCCAAACTGCGCTTGAAAAAATACGCTGAATGTTCTACAATTCTCCATATGATGAGCATGTTTATCCCACTCATCTGTTGAAAAAATACGCTGAATGTTCTACAATTCTCCATATGATGAGCATGTTTATCCCACTCATCTGTTGTGGTGCATCTATGGTAGGGGTTGGAAGTGCCTGTAATTGTTTGTGTCAGATACAGATGTTATGAGTTCCATTTTCCAAAACTTTAACCACATTTATCATTTTTTTGGGGGGGGGGTGGCACTTACAAAGTTATGGTATGCATAGCCTGATATATTGTACTTGCTGTTGATGCAGTCCTTAGAACATTTCTAGTGGAACTAAAGTGTTTGAATAGTTACCATGATATTTGAACTAAATACTTAAAAGGGAAAAAAACGTATTTCCAGGGCTATGGATTTGAGTGACCGATGCTAAGGATCCATAGGGAGTGACAATTATATCTTTATATTACTGTATTTGCACTATTACAGTAGAATCCCAGTTATTCAATATCCAAGTAACTCGCACATTCAACTAACCTGGCACCAAAATTAAATAATAATAATAAAAAATAAAAATTACTCCAAAATCAGCTAGAATCAGAAGTTTGAATGCCACACCCAACAGAGGTGAGCTGCCATATTTGTTGCTATGATAAACAATAAAATTGATACATTGCATATCATAAAATACAATAGCACTTATTTAATGTACAAAAAATAGCTCCTTCCACACTCAAACCATCCTCTGTGAGTTAACCAGTTGACTCAGACATGTGAGCATTCCCATGTAGTTGTAACCCAGTAACCCATTGCCTCAACACACACACACATATACACATCGATGGTCTTCATTTTTCTTATTTTATAGTTTTATAATATATTTCTTTTATTTCTAAGTGACAGAGTATTGTAATGATTTTTCTTCAACTTTTATAGTTTCATTACATGTAACAATAAACGCGGCTGCTGTATTGGCAAGTCGGCGACATAGTTATAGCGACCACCTCCACATACATTCAGTTCCCACACATATACACCCATGCTCTTCATTTATATATTTATAGTTTTATATTATATATTCTTCATTTCTAAGCCACATCATTTATATAGAGTGGAATAAGTTTTGAAGAAGTCCGTTTTCTGAGAGACGGACTTGCAAGGTCAACCTGTAGTACTGCATTGTGGGATTTATTGGAGGATCTTAAGAGCGAGTTTCAACTAACTGGAAAACTCTTTACCAGCATCTCTCAATCCCTGTAGGTGTTGGATAACTAGGATTCTACTGTATTTGAGAATTTATGGATTTTGAAGAGGAAGGAATGATGACAAAGGTCTAGATGTGTAAGGAAGAGTAGGAATGGTAAGATCCTATGATTTTCTCTTAGAAACATTTGGCTAGAGAGTTTTGTTTTATGAACTAGATGGATCCCATAATGTAAGTGTTAAGGAAAAGTTGTATTTTTCTTATAATTTTTCTCTCTCACTTATGTGTAGGAAGGATCAAGGAGTATAAAAGCTGCAAAGAAAGGGGTGAATTGTGGGGTAGTGGTGAAAGAAGTGTAGAAAACACAAGGACGGGGATATATACAGTAAAAACTCCAAGTACCAGACTAATTAAGCCACAGCGACGTCATTACGCAGACAGAATTTGGTATTCGGATGTCCATGTCAGCTTGGAGACACAACTGTTCAAAACAACAGGCAACATATTACACTAACACAGATTGCCTTACTGTATTTAACCTCATTATAAATTATTTCTAGTAAAATAATCATACATGTGATATACTGTACTGTACTTTTAGTAAATTCAGTTTTTTTTTTTATTTAAAGTATTAATAGATGTATGTATGGTTCTACATTCTAGAAGCTTTCAGAGGCACAAATTAGATTTTTTAAGGTTCCTGAGTTCTGACATTCATATGTATGTTGCATGGATGGCCTTGTGCAGTGTGAGATAAAGTGGATGGTGCTGATGTGTACAGTATATCTCTGGCAATGAAGCAGATAAGTTCACAAAATCAACTTTATTCTCAAGAGCTTTGTTATCATAGGCAAATTTAACAATGAGGAAGAGGGAATTGGTTTCTATCCTTTATTATTCTGTATTTTACATACGCCAAAAAATTGCAAAAAATTTTAGAGAAAAACAATTAAAATAATACATAGCCCATCATAGAATACAATATCATATATTTTATATACAAAAAATAGCTCCTTCCGCCCTTGAATCATCCTGTGGGTGAGGCCGAGAGTGGACAGGTTCAGCCAGCCAGCTGACTTGAGAAATGTGTGGCTGCTACGCTTTGTGTATACCATGACGTCACATAGGGAAAGTGTGATGCATCCATACATTCATCCACTTTCCACACAGAATACTGTTCATACTCATGCTCTTGGTATTTTTTTTTTGTTCATTACCGGTATGCATGTATTTTCTTTATTTCTAAGTTACATTAGAGGACTGCACTGAAATTATTTTCCCACAACTTATTCAGTTTCATTACATGAATCAATGGCAACATGCACAGCCATCTTAAGGCCACAGCTGCCTGGCAACATGTGTTACGTTGTGAAGATTATGCTGGTGTGTATAGGATCCACTTTCACTTTCAGTGGATATGAAGTGGATCACAATATGCTTTCACTTTATTCAGAGTTCCAAATTTCTGCATTATCTCTGGAACAAAGCATTTATTATTGACCATGGCTAGCACTTCAAGTCTATCCTTCATGGTAAAGCTCTTTCTGCTCTTTGGGGCCTTACCTGAATGTACTTGCTTAGGCAATGTTCTCATAATGTGTGCAATTTATGTCACAAGAGAACAGGCATGTCTGCACTGAATAATAGCCATGTGTAGAGTGAGTTCAGCTTGAATGTGTTGTTGTGATGTGGGCAGGACTAAGTGGTCCACACCGCATGGCTGCACGATAGTAACCTAACATATCTCCGGTGGTCTGGTATTTGGGATTTTTACTGTAGATTGAAATCTTGGGATGCACACCAAGTAATGAATGCTTCAAATACTGTCACTGGGCATGCAAAATGAAACATCAGGTTTGTTCATGTTATTACTATCATGTAAATAATGACTACTGAACACAACCCCCAATCAGACTTTACTAATTTGCCAGTCACGAGAAAGAAGTGTGAAGGTAAGCAATCATTTTAGAAAATTTTACCACATGCTGAGTGTGTGTTTGATACTAAAAACATTTTAATAGAAAAGTGGATTTAGTTTGTTACGTATTGGTTTTATGATTCTTTAATGTTACTTTCAACAAGGAAAGGACAGTATTACTGACTTGGGAGAAGTTCTCGGAAACTGTATTATACGTAGCATTTGTTGGGAATTGGTTTTTACTGTTGATGCTTGCAGTTGTATTGTTAGCTTTAAAGTTTTATAATGAAAATTAACTGGGAGTTTTAGTGAAAGTTTTTGTATTATTGTACAGTACTACTGTATGTTTGTTTAGCTGATAAATGTTTTAATTGTAATTAATTACCGGAAGTTGCAAAATAAGAATCCTTGCTTATTGTTAATGACACATTATGAGTTAATGATTTGTTTTCAAAATTCTCTGTGGCTCCTTTAGTACTGGCTTAGTAAATTTCAGAATAAACAAATAAAATATGGTGTTATTTTAAAAGGATATTATTAAGCTTAGAATTTTTATTTAATATTTAAACACTAAGCAAAGATACATGAAGGGCCTTGTTTGTAATGGTGATGGCTTATTAACGGCATGAAGTTGTATGGCTTCATCACTGAAACAGTGCCATGATTGGTTCTCCTCGGCTGCACAGCTAGTTGGTAGCACTTGAGGGAGTGAACCAAGCTAGGAAACTGACTAACCTCAGCACCTTCACTCAATTTTAACAGACACCCAAGGGCCTAGGGGACAGTACAGACTCCAATGGCAGGTCAAAGCTAAGGATTTTTCGTAGGCCCTTCGGTTCCAGGAATTACAATGTTCTGTCAGCTTCTTTAAGGTTTGTGTATGTGGTTGTTTATGACAAGGATATGCAAACTTGAATTCAACTAAATGGCAGCTGCTTCCTAATATATTTTGTAAATCCATGAGTCTTGATGCTGATAATTTTCCCTTGTTGTTACTGCATGCATATTTGTAGTGCTGCATAATCTGTATGCTTATGCAGGGTTATTCTTGTTAGTTATAAACAATAAGCTGGTTAAACATAGATTGTGTAATGCCATTCAGATAGGGAGGGAAAGTGAAACTGCTTACCAGTGAAAGTGGGACTATACCAGGGATGTGTAATACTGTAGTGTCCTGATTGTTCAGTGTTTTAAAGGGTACGATGAGAGGTGAAAGCAAGAGAAATGGATAGGGCAGCAAATTTTGTAAATAGGAAATAGACGTGTCAAAAGCTATACAGTACAGTGGTCCCTCGGTTAACGAACACAATTCGTTCCAGAGTCGTTCGTTATTTCAATGGGATATTGGGTAATTGGTTCCAACTCACAGAAAAATTACATACAAAGTACTGTATACCAGTAATAGAATTAATAAAACATTAAATATAAACTAAATACAGTACTGTACTGTACAGTATACTGTACAATAATAAATAAAAAGCAATATACTGTATTTTAACTTACTTTGAAGTGTGTATGTTGTATTACCGGCAGATTTGTTTACATATCAAACAGCTGATTGTAGAGGCAGTCGATGATGACACCATATTCTTTACAGAGTGCACTGGTTCTAATGCCTTCTTCATGTTTCATAATAATTTCTGCACTGTATATTATCAATATGTTAACTAAATTTCAGAATGACCAATAATTTTAATGTAAAAATGCAAACATATTCAAGAGACAAACAAAATTGATGTTCGCTCCACGGTAAACAAAGTTAAACTGAGAAGGCTTGTTGGGTGATTCAATCAGCTGATGGGCACACAAAAACTGTTCCCTGTTCTCTATATGTAATTATCAATATGTTAACTAAATTTCAGAATGACCAATAATTTTAATATAAATAATGCAGAAATATTCAAGAGACCAACTTTCTTGATGTTTCCTTCACTGGAAACAAATGTAAACATAGAACCAATTACTGTATTGGCGGACTAGCCGATCAGCTGATGCGCACAACAAAACGTGCTTGTCGTAAGGATTTCGTTAATCGAGCTGAAAATCCTTATTGGAGCGAATTCGTTAACCGAAATTTTGTTAATCGAACCGCTCATTAACCGAGGGACCACTCTATACAGATGACACTGTTCTGGTGGGTGATTTAGAAGAATGTGTACTGAAAGAAAGTTAATAATGATTAAGAACAAAGTATAGAGATGAAAATAAACTGTGAAGGGATATAGAAATGAATGCTTTAATAGAGATAGAATCAGTGGCATGGTTAGGAAGCTTACTCCTGGGCTCTAGATAACCTCACTGTAGTACTACTTTATTGGGTAGAATGGAGGAAGTGAGGTGTTTCAGAAATAAAGAAGTGGATGTATTAGTGAGTGAAAAAACGAGTTGAGAAAGTGAATTCTAAGCATACCTCTTACAATGTTTTAGATGTATTCCTGAATGATGGATTACTAAAATATACAGCTCTGAGAAGTCAGTAAAGATGCATTTGCAGCAGCACTGTCATATCTGTGAGCAATATATTAAGGCTTCATTGGATACCGGTAAGAGCTCTGATAATGATACTGTATGTGTGGAATATGCATCAAAAGATTTTACAGATAAATAAAATATTTGTTAATGATGATAGGCAAGAAAAAGAATAAAAATAGTTATGTACTCACCAGTGTATCCAGTCAGCTTGCATACAATTGACCTACCATTGCTCCTAACATGATCCTAATTCTACATGGAGCTTAACTGGCTCTTCATCTTCTTCAGTAAAGTGTTCCTTAAATGGGGTGTCTTAGGCCCTGTTAACAAAGAAATGGATTGGGCAGAAGCCCATATCTTTTCTCCATTCTTAGGAATAATTCAAATTGAAGTAACCAAACTCAAGCTATGACCAGTATCAACCTGATGCTCTCCATGCATTGTCTCACTTGCACTTTTATATCCATGCTGATGCTCTTTCCCTTGACTTCTTGGCCACATTACCAGCATAATCTTTTTCAGGCCTTTTTCTAGACACTTTGAGTCAAAAATAAGTTAACACATATCTGCAGGAAGTGTTCAAAACTGAGAGTCAGGTACTGAATGGCAATCAATGTACCTCACTCTCATTAGTAAAGCATGCGTGATCATGCATGAAATTTTTTTTAACCATTCTACAGATTTTTTATAGTAAATATTTCATCCAGAGCATTGAGCATTACAGTACAGTATCATGAACGAACATTGTAAGAGGTATGCCAGTACAGAGTAATGGTGAATAGAAAATTATATCAAGAAATTTATGTGGTGAAAGAATTGTGTTAAATGTAGACAAAGTTGGAGATCATCACCATTTTATAGCTAGTTTCCAACTTATGTGGGTTAGCCATGATTACCTGATGGCTTCTCTCCATGCTGCACAGTTTCTTGCAGTCTCTCATCAGGAATCATTGAGCTGATAATGCATGTATTGTACAAGAGTGAAGCATGGACTGAGTGGAAAAGGGTAACTTAGAACCAACAGCAATGATATTCTTGATAGCAATACAGTAAATAAGATGCTGAGAATAAGAAATAATGAAATGTGATGGATATGTAGAAACAAAAGAAGTTGGACAGAGAACCAAGGTTTGCAAAGGTGATATTGACTTACTGAGAGAATGGGAAGTGAAAGATTGGTAGAAAGAACAGATATTTTAGAGATAGTTGTATGTAGGAAAGGAAAAAAAACAAGATGGAAGGTTGGGATGGACAATGTATTAGAAATGGGGGAAATGACTTTCAGGGAGTAACACTACATACAAGTGATAGGAGAGCATGTCACTTTGTGGATTATGAGTATGTTATGGTAATTATAGTGATGAATGACAAAAAAGATGGAGAGATAGTCTTTAATTGTTTTTAGTTTCCATTACCCTGCAGCATAACAGAAAAGAGCTGAGAAGATCATGAAAAAAAGAAATGATGGTTATTCTCATTTGTACCGTAAAATGTTGCTAACTAAGATTAATTGGGGGAAAGGGCAGTTCAAATATGCCTGAGTCTGACCTTGGTCCGAGATCCTGGGGCAATTAATTCTGAGATAGGAGGGTGAGTCTAGTCCGGCCTAGTTTCAAGAATGTAAAGGATATAGTCTGAGATGAAAGGGAAAATCCACATCAAGGACCTTGACAAATTTCAATATTGAGAACAATGTGTAGATATAATCAAACTGGCCAATTTTTATAGATGAGAATATTCAACAACTGAACAAGTGGACACACCGGCCATATCACATATCTGCTTCATCTCACACTACACAACCTGGGAGGCCACCCTTGCCACATCCGTATGTACATACGTTGCAACTTGGGAACCTTCAAGAACTTTTGTGTATAGTTAGAAAGCTTCTAGAACCTTCAAGGAGACTTGTGATTGTCCAAGCTCGCCCATCCATTTCGGATATTGTCCTAGATGGATATGGAAAAATGTCCAAAGCTCATCCCATGTCTGTGAATCACAGGGGTCTGAGACAAAAAGGTCCAAGTAGGAAAAGGTTTACTGTACAGTATTAGGTTACTTCATGCACTCTTTTCTTCCAATGTTATTTGCTTCCTTGTGATACTGATTTCCTCAGCCTCATCTCTTTATAAAGATAACAGAGGAAAGTGTGTGTGTGTGTATATATATATATATATATATATATATATATATATATATATATATATATATATATATATATATATATATATATATATATATATATATATATATATATATATATATATACAGTGACCCTCCGTTAACGAACTCAATCCGTTCCAGAAGTCGTTTTAACGAAACCATTGTTTCACTGGGTTTTTGGGTAATTGGTTCCAGCTCACCGAAAATTTCCTAAATTCAACAAAAATGGTAGAAAAGTTCACTTACTTTGAGGTGTGTATGTAGAAGGCTCCTGGATGATGATGATGATGATGATGGGATTTAGAATGGGGGTGGAGGAGAAGGAAGAAGAGAAGGCATTGGGGTGGAAGAGAAGTCACCCCATGGCCCATTTCACCCATAAAATTTTAGCTCTCTTGGTGTAATTCAAGATTATTTTCTTTAAATCAACACTGCACTGCATTATATATTGTCAATATGTAAAATATATTTCAAAATGACCAATAATTTGCTTGGAAACACAGAAAAAAAGCGTTTAGTTGAAGAGAGTCTCAAGCAAGATGTTACCTCCAGTGAAAACAGAGAGAGACTAACGCCTGTTTGCTGTGTTAAGAGGCTGGATGCCGCGCATTAAACTAGTCACTTTACCTTCAATTATGTTCAATAATTGTTAAAATGACTAAAAAATTGAATATTAAACTTTTAAAATTATTGAATAGTATAAACTTCTTGATATTTACTAAAATAGTAAGGAATTTAAGCCCTAGAACCGATTAATGTATTGGCGGACTGATACTAAAGCTGGTTGCCCGGTCAGTGCAAGCGAAAACATGTTGAGGTCGGTTCGTAAGAACTTCGTTAACCGAATTTTTTTCGTTAACCGAATTGAAGATCCTTATGGCAGTTCGTATATATATATATATATATATATATATATATATATATATATATATATATATATATATATATATATATATATATATACATATATACATATACATACACACACATACATATATACATATACATACACACACATACATATATATACATATACATACACACACACTCTATTTTAGTCCATATAACACGGACTTGAACATATAATCAACGAGTTTAATCTCGATCAGGGACCAGCACAACCATGCCACACAGACACTAAAGGTAATCCTAGACTATGTTATATTTCACACAAAGCCTGTTCATTGAGCTGATGGCGCCGTGAATCTCCCATTGGGGATTGCCCGTGCCACTTATGTGGTGGGAGTAGCATTTTACCTTGTGTCCTTGTGGCATGGTTAGTAGCATTCCCTGGTCACACGCATTAGGGTCGGAGGGTTCGATCCGGCTGCATTATTGTGATTGGCTGGGACAATGTCATGCATCTTTTGTTATGTTTTCATTGTTGTATCCAAATTCAGCCTATGGCAGGCACTTTCTCATGCAATGAGACTTGTACAAAAATATTGAAGAAATTTGCTATAACGCTAATTGTGTTCTTGTAAAATATCGTGTTATAGAAAATCGCGAATAGAAATAACAGGGCTTATGGAGAAAATAGGTTAGGTGCAGTTTACCAAATCAAAAAATTTAGTAGTTAGCCTAACACAAAGGATAGCACAGTCTAAATAAATGTTACATTCATATCTAATAATGAAATCATACAGTAAATTAACACTTTACCTTGAAAAATATGAATGTAACTTGATGGGGAGAAGGGTGATTTGAGGTCGATAACATCAAGCTTCTCTTCAAGTGTTATATCCTTTCTTTTACGATAATCACCGAATTCTATCATCAGAATGCTTTTGGAGATATTCTTCTTACCATTCACAGTTAATACCACAAAATTGGAGAAATATGCAAAAATCGCTATATAGCAAACAAGCGATCGGTTATACAAATATTGTTCAATTATAAATTGCGTTAGAGCAAATTCGCGTTATCAAAACCGTATAGCAGAACTCACGACTGTACTGTACTGTAAAAGTACATTACAGTACTTAAACATAAATTTACTCAAATAAAGGTAAAAAAAATAATGTAGCACTCCTAAGTACTCAATCCTCCAAAAAGTTACTTGAATGAAGCAATGAAGCACTGTTACTCTATTACTGGGCACCTCTGGCTATATCTCAAATTAATGTTTTACAGCATTTCAACTTTTCTCTTGAAAACATCTAACAATTCTGAATATGTTTTCCAGAAGCCATCATTGATATCATTTTGTTTGCTTTTGCAATTTGTTTCTTAACCTACTTATCCATCAATAGTAACAGCATTTTCCTTAAACTGGTGCCAATTTTGAAGTAGATGGAAATTTATGGGGTTGGCTTGTTTATTATGTCTGTCCAGAATACTGTACAGTACTGTGTTGTACAGGTATTACCAAAAGGTATTTGTTGCTGCATGGAATTTTAAGTGTAAAAATACTTTGTTATGTTTACATATTATCAATCACTACTTCAATTTTGACTTGATTTACAATAAAGGGATATCTTTTCAGGTCACAAGAAAACCCACAAGACCTGAACAACTCGTTAACCGTATCAATCGGACGCTCAGACCCAACAATCGTTGAGAAGAAGTCAAGAATGAGGAGATAGGAATACTTGATTTCTGCAGTAATATTAATTCTTATTATGCTTTGTTTGTGGAAGACAATTACAAATGATAGGTCATTCTACTGTAGAAATCATGATTACTGGTTATAATATTAACGTCTTCCTATATTTCTTTGGTTTTGCTGTGTTTGATGTACATATTTTTATTTGGATAAACCTTCATTTAATAAATTGCTCAGTGTGGTATTCTTCTTTATTCTTTCGTAGTTTCTTATCAGTGATGCACTATTGTATTATTGTGTTCACTTTATCTACACAATAACATGTAGAATCTTTTAAAGTATTTATTATACACTAAAATGAAAAGGTAGTACTCTTGAGTTTTTAGTAATGAGAGGCTTTCCATAAGATCTCAAGCACTGTATAGTGTTTAGGCTTTTATGTGGTTCTGACAACAGGATGAAAAGTTTTTAGAGAGGTCATATAAGATTCTTTACTTTTGTTGTAGTTTCAAGGTCATTAAAATGTCTTGACTCAAGTAATGAATTCATATTTTACTACTTAATCTAGTGCAAATGAGGTTTATATTCTTCTTAGACATATATATATATATATATATATATATATATATATATATATATATATATATATATATATATATATATATATATATATATATATATACATTGACCCTCGTTAATTGGACTAATAGGGAAGGGTGTCGTTTTGCGATTGTCCAAATACCGATTTAGGGGTTAATATTGCATTATATTTCAGTCAATGTTTTTCGTCATGATTTTATCACTTTCCACTGTAATACGTGCGTAATTTCCAAAAATATTACATTTCCGTGAATGTATTATATCAAGCACAGTATGAATAGAATACCATTGTAATATAACAGTATTTTAACCGAAAACTATTAAAAAAGAATAACATCTCAAGAACATTGGAAGCTTAGGTAAGTCTTTGTTTCGTCATGTATTTTATCCTATTTTACATTGAAAGACATCACGTTTCAGCAAAACTACTATTTATTTCCAGAATATATTCATTCAGGCACAGTTTAGGTAAAATATCGTGTGATGTAACAGTTTTTATCTGAAAACGATTCGAAAAACCGTGTACTGTGTAGCTGATACTCAACAGCTGGTGGTGCGTCATGTGGTCATGTGTCGTTGTAAACAATAGGAGTTGAAGTAGATTACGGGTATTATATTGAGTGTGAAATATCAAAAGGTTTTTATTACCGGTATTTTTGTAGATCAATGAGAACTGTGATACCGTATATGATATGATAAGTTAGCCTGTGCTAAGAACTTCAACATAGACTACTGAAAACACGTTGTAAGGTAATTTAGCCTATTGTAAGTTGGTGAGCTTCTTTGCTGAAGGAACTGCACAACTTTTCATTATATTGGTACAAATTTTACGTTTCCATTGTTTACTGGCAGTAAATGGTAAATATTTTTCATGTCTAAAGTAAAAGTTGCATCCCCCTACTAGTGGTGGAGATGTTTTTGACCAAAAGACGCTGGTGTTTTATCCCAACAGTGGGTGGACCAGCATTTTAGCTTAAGGTCTGTGTAGGTAATATTCCTACAAATCTTAAAGAAAAAAAAAAAAAAAGTTCGTTCAGATTTTGTCGAATTATCGAAATCCGGATTAAAGGGTCCGAATTAATGAATTAGAGCTGTGTGTGTGTGTATATATATATATATATATATATATATATATATATATATATATATATATATATATATATATATGCTGTAAGTGCCATTTGACATTTTGAGATATCAGCAATTGGGGATTTATAGCTCTGTGAGGACTCAAGGAAATTTTTTTTCAAGTCTATCTCTCACAGGCATATGCCAAACAACAGAGAATTGAAAATAGAAAATGGGAAAACCCTTATCTCAAATTCGCACATTTGGCACTTACTGCTGAGTGACACCTCATATATTTACAGTACTATATATATGCAAAAAAAAAATTATTATATTTTATTCTGTGTAAGTATTCCCAAAGTATAAAAAGTTGTATTTTTAGATCTATGTGCTTTTTATTTCAAATACTGCACTTAAAACTTAAGTTACAAAGGAAAAGAAATTATCATTACCAATTTAATTACAGTATAAATATATAAAAAATGCAATTTTTGTATGGTTCTTTAATAGCATATACTGTACCGTACTGTATGTTAAAATATGGAATGGTATTCTGGAGGAGTGCTGAAATTAGTTTTCAATTTTAATTTAAAAACTGTTTACTGTACTTTCTGTGAAGCAGTAGAAGAGAAGTGCTTGAGAGTAATATTTTGGGTGAAGAGGATGCAGGGATTGCAGTAGTACTATACAAAATACAGAAATTACAGGATGTGAATTTGAAAGTGTCTTTCAGAGGGTTGGTTAGGGTTTACTGATGTACATGTAGTGTGGTCATATTGAGAGAAAATGAAATAAAAGACTGGTAAAAGTATTTTAAATTTTAAATGTATTCTAGGAAGAAGCAGGAAGCCCAAGAATGAGTGAAAGTATTAGGTAAGAAAGGTACTAGAGCATTTTGTTGAGTGGTATGTGGATCTGGAGTTGCTACTGGGTAATATTAAGTGGCATGGGTAAACCAGATTGAAGTCTTGGTGCCATGCTGTGGAAGAGGAGCACCATAGAAGTACATTTGTTACAGCAGTTAACTTAATTTTAGGAGTCTCATATCCTTTGGATCAGCCTCTAATCATATCAGCCAGGGTTTATCTTTTACTTATTACTCCTCTCTGACCCACCCCACTTCCTCTCACCCTTGCATTATCAGCCTCAGATGAGGGGTGGCTTGGTGAATCTGCTGCCACATAAGGTTGGAGTTCTTGTTAGAGCCATGACTGCCTAATCAGCACTCAATATCTTGAGACTACTTGTACTGTTTGCCATTCTTGATTCCAGACTACTTTTCTAGTTTCTATTTAGTTCAGGCTGATAATCAAAGAGAATGGTTGGAGTTGAAAGACCTTGCATATTTTCTACAAAGACTACTTATCCTATTTTAGACACATTCATCATACTCTTGATACCCAGCTGCCCTCAATAGGGTTTTCTGTCTTTCAGTGTTACATTACACATCCACTTCACCATTCTCATTTCAATTCACTCAAGCTTGCATATAAAATCCTCTTTAACCACAATACTTCACTTCTATACAACTTCACGCTTCTCATGCCAGTTATAAACATCTTTCCTTTCATGCAGGGGGACAGTCCTCATACCTCAATAAAGGTAGCAGCTCCCTAAACTCCCTCCAGCCACTTCTGACTCAGGCAACTTCAGCATCACCTCCAGCACTGATCATGTCACCCAAATATCATAACTCATTGATGCAGTCCAGAGATATATCCCCATTGTTTAGTTTCTCCTGACCTTCAAAGACCACATGATTACCTTTGCATACAGGGTACTTAAAGTCAGCAACATCCTGCAGTCTGCCATCCATTTCTCTGCACCTCATGTGTAACTACATTTCCACACTTCACATTATTAAGTTGCTGCCAACACCTTACTTACAGACAGCATATGATCATTTTCCACTTTCTATCACATGTCCTTCACTCATATCAGGCAGTGCACTAGTTCAGAAAGTGCAGCAGGGACCAGGTGAAGACCACAGCTCTGGTGTCCTGATTGCCATCAGGCATGTTGGAACAGTTTTACAGCTGGATGCCCTTCCTGTCATCTAACCACAGAGTTGGAACAACTGACAAGACAGGGTCATGACTCTCAGGGTAATTTAAAACTACCCATGATACATAAGTACTGCCAGAGACAATGTTCGCTACCTGTGGTGAAACTGAGTCACGGGAATGAGTCTCTGAACTCGCTTACCTTGACTGTATTATCTTATTTGGGGTTGATGCTGCTTTATATATATATATATTATCATAATAATACAATCTTTATACTAATACAGTACTGTATGTTATCACGATATTGAGTTCACTGTCTTCCAACATTTTAACAAAATATTTTCTTCGCATTACTTAAATATACTGTTACAAGACTTGGTCATATTTTAAAAGACGTATTTAGGTCTAATAAATTTTATTTGCAATTTTTTATTTTTTTTTTATTTTTGAAACCTCTCATAACTTTTCAAAAATACATTTTAGAAACATGCATAAGTATATGAAGAATGTGACATTGTTGAATGACAATGATTGAAGGTAAAATATGTTTTTATTTGCTCTTGTTTCTTGTCACCATATGTTAAGTAGGAAAAGGCTTGAAAAAGAAAAAAAAATTGCTCCTCCATTAGTTTCATGCACATTTCTTGGATCCACTGCCCCATTCTCCCCTTATGTGCATAAAGTTTGTGCTTGGGAGAGTTTTCTCTCTGATTAGTGTGCAAAGTTGAGCACTTTAATGGAGAGAACATTTCCCAGTAATAAATAAATAAAGAGTAAAGACTTAAGATTTGTTTCAACACTTATCTTTATTGAAACTAAATACAGTGTGGGACTGTGGTGGATGTCATACCATCCCAAATTTAGTGCATCATGCAATAGCATGATGGAATTAGTTACTGGAGGTTCCATGCCAGTTCCAGGTGCAAACACTGGTGGCCTCTCCCTTACTTCATACTTAGGCATGTTGATATATTTAATAGAGAAGTTACATAATGTATTTCCTTATTAGTGCAAGGTTGTACTTTCTGGCAACATCCCTAAATCTTTTTAATTATGCATCATGCTCATTTTGACTGGCTACACTTTCACATTGCTCACTTGAGCAAATGTGCCCCTCAACTTCTCTGATAGAATGTTGTCTGTTCTCATAAATTACAAAGAATACTACTTAAGACTTGCTTAATTCACTATAACTCCAAAACTCCCTTAGCGGGTAAGCCCAACAAGGGTTAGTGTCCTTTAATTTTAGGTAGTGGATATTTTGCAATGACTGGCTAAGTTCCTACTAATGCTATTTTACTGTGAGCGTTGAGATTGGGCAAGTACTTTCTGTTTCATGTGACTGGTCCGCACCCTGGCTAGGAAGTTGGGTAACGTTAGGTAGGTTTCTTTGGTTGATTGGGCCAGGTTTTAGGGTAATTATTATTGACTGACCCGCCGGTGATTTAACATAGTAAACGATTATAAAAATGATGTAATTTTGCTGTGTTTTATGGAGGACTTTTTTTTTTTTTTTTTTACTTAACCCAACCTTAACCTTAGCATAAAACGGCTGCATTACCACCGAGAAGACAAAGTAGTGCGCACCTTAGGCACCTAAATATCTACTTAAATGCCCTCCTACAGAAACAAATAGAATGGCAGTTCAATCCCCTGACAGCCTCTCATATGGGCTGGGTGTGGGTGCGACAAATCCGCACTGTAAGGAAGGTCCTCCAGGGAGTGGTGGGCCCACCCATGCACAGGTCATAGACCCACAATGGGGCCAGAGGGGGCATAAAAATAAGAGTAAATAGGAGATAAAATGACTATATTAATCTCCACCATGAAGATGCCGGAAAACCAGTACTCACTGACGAAAAGAGAGTAAAAATATAAACACCAAAACAAATGACTCGCAGGTGGGTCAATCGTCAA